TTTAGTAGCCTGTTTGTCTTCTTCAGTGCGCAGTTTGAGGAGAAGTGCTGTAAAATGAGGCGGGTTGTCTTTCTTTTGTTCGAGTTGCAGGTTTGAAATCAGCGAGCTGTCCCAACAGCCTCTGCAAAACTGCTTGAGCAGCTGCTGGTCGGCGTCACTGGAGGAAATTCCATTCCTCTGAATAACTAGGTTTAACAAGGTGTATAACCTCTGAAAGTAATCGGAAGGTTTTTCACCACTGTCCTGGTTTGTGTTTAAGAAGCGAGCAAAGAGCTCGTCGCCGTCTTCGACAGCTGCGTAAGCTGAATCGAGATGTTCAAGGTACGTTTCCGGGTCGGATTTTGGACTAAGAGCTTTAACGATGCTCGCTGCTGGGGCTGACAGACTCTCCACGATTCTTCGTACAATTTGGGACTTGGTGAGTGAAGGATCATTTATGCATAACACTACACTACTACGCCAAGTATCATAGTCAGTTTCAAAAGAAGGGTGTGGAACTCGCCCTGAGAACGGTTTTAGTCTGTATTGTGAAGTAGGCGGAGGGATAACCTCACTGCTTTTAACAATGTGTTCCACAATAACTCGCTGAACCTCAGGTGTGTTTAAAAGATTTGGTGGAATGCAAGGGTTTTGTTTTCCAGTCTCTGTAGGTGGACAATTGTCCTTTGAGTTGTTCATATAGTTAACTTCTGGTGTTAAAGGCAGGGAATATGTAACTTGGTCACTATGGAGCATTGGCTCTGGTTCAGTGACTGGTTCAGATGCATGGGTATCCCTTCCTAAAGATTCCCCAATTTTTGCCAGTTCCTCCATTAGAAGGTCTTTAAATGATTGATTGCTACGCGCAGCTATGTCCCTGAGCTCTGACAGATAGGCATCAGTGGCAGATGTGCTAGTTTCTAGACTGTACGCGCTGGCTAGGTCTTGAATATGGAAGAAAACATCTGGGTTCCTAGTACAAGGTTTGTCATAGGGTAAACATTGTTTCTTTAATTCCTTAACAGTGGCTTCATGTTGAAACTCCACAATAATCTGATCACAGTTTGGTAACTTAATGCGCCTGTTAACTGGTCCGAATCCTTCCATAAACCCAAAGACTTCGTTATCAAGGTCTGTATCAGTTAACCCACTGATTAAAACAGCATTTGAAACTTTGACCTTTTCTGTTTTCACAACTTCCATTTTAAAACACTCAAAAGTACCAATAATGCCAAAATGGCAAACCACTGTGACCTCCAGGCACTCTTATGATGTCAGTCAATGGTTAGCTAAGGTAACAACTCTACAATTCTCCTGGCTGGCTCGCCAAGTTTTATGTAACCGGATTACAGGATACAATAAGATAATTAAAAGAAAAAATAAACAAATGGGCCAATAATTAGGTTCGGGGAGAATTGGAGGTTGTTTAAGAATGACTGGAGTCACGGGTATAGCATGAAACGGTTTATATACTAAATTTTAATAATAATGGGAAATATAACACATAAAGATAACACACAAAAACAGATGAAAACAATCGACAATAGTAAATTGCTCGGTATGAGATTTGATCATATGAGTCACAAGTCAGCCGGCGTCAAGTCAAATCCCCACGCTTGGGGTGAAAGTCAGAGTCCGGTGGTGCGATTTTTTCCTACCACACCGTTGAGATTGTTCACTGAAGAGAGCAGTCTGCTCTTCAGTTACTTGAGATGTCCTGGTTCGTTCAGTGGTTAAGGCTCGCCATCTCCCTCGTCAGGAAGAAATCCAGTTCTCGTTCCAAGTGAGTGATCATAGGAGTCGGGATCAAACCCAAGGAAAAAAAAAAACCCAGCCTGTAAACAACAGGACTGTTAGCGAGTTGGCATCGACCCTTCTCGTCACATCACAGCATAAAGTCTTACAGACTTAAACAAATGCTTCACTCTATTGGCATAGCCAATCATGTTTGGGTTCACAGTTCAACTAACATAACATCAATTTGATTGTCTATTAAAATAATTCTCAGTAGCTCTGGAAATATAATTACATATGACAACAATTGTTCAGCTCAATAGGCTCAGTTAGATTCTATTACTCTACACTATTCGACAAGAAATACATTCATGACAACAAGGATACATTTAGTTGTGTTTCTATACAGCATTGTGACACCTTGTATATCTGTAACACAATAAATAAATAAATAAATAAATAAACAAACAAATAAATAAATAAATAAATAAAATTTTCTATAACAAAATTAAACAAAATATAAATTCTGGTCCTTTGGTCCACCTTTGTAAAATAATTCCTCCCTAATCAGTTAGCTTTTATTTATTTTTATTTATCTATTTTTTTTTATTATTAAATGTTTGGTTAAGGGACGCATTGCTAATTCTATGGCGTTAGCTATAACGCCCCTGAGGACCTTGTACATCTAGGCCGTACCACCGTTAACTGGCGGTTTGAGCCGTTAACTCCTGGGAATCCTATATGCCGTACCGCCGTTAACTGGCGGTTTGAGCCGTTAACTCCTATATGCCCTACCACCGTTAACTGGTAGTTTGAGATGTTAACTCCTGGGATCTAACGTCTAGCAGCCCACTGCTGTCACCTCGGTTGCTGTAATTAGCTTTTTGAATTTAATAATTTACTGAATTTAATCTCATTCACTCACCAACGCGCTCCAACGGTTCCCTCCTACAGAGGATTGGTTCACTCTGTCGTCTCCACACAAATCTATAAGAATGGAATTAATTTGATAAGCCATTTAAGTTTCCTTTTTTTTTTAAGTTGCATCGTTAGCTTTTTCTCTTCTTTTTTCTTTACTCACCGCGTTGGTTCCAAGTTCCTAGCTCTTATTAGAAGGAGTCAAGTCCGCCTCTCCCTCTATCTATGCGGCACCCAAAACAGGGTTCTTCACGGCCTCGACCGTTGTTTTTTTTTTCTCTCTCTCTCTCTCTCTAACCGCTCAGTCTTTGCTTTCTGTATCTGCGTGCTGCACAGCCGTTTGTCTCTCCTCTCGCTCAGCTGCGTCGCACGGTTTTATTTCGCGGAGGCGGGACTTATTTCTCTCAGCCAATGAAATTTCAGATTCCCACCTGGACCAATAGTATACAGCTTTCCTCTTCCGTTTCTGTTAGTGATGTTCAAGATTCTTGTTTTAACCGATGTTTAATATTAAACTCGTTATTTTAGTTATTCACCCTTCCAATAATTCATTATGAAATTATCTATTAGTTAATTAGATATCTATTAATTAGTATTGTTAATTTCCTTAATTTATATTTTATATTTTATCTAAATTGAGGATGGATCATATTAGTAAGCCAATTAGTTAATACCTCATTAAGGTTCTAGCTTCTGGGTTACAATAGCCTAAATTAATCTTTTCAACTTTGACAAATGATTGCTTTATTAAAACTTAAGTAAAATTTTTTATATCAGATTTTATGGTTTTTGTAGGATTCATGTAAATAAACAGGAGAGAACCCCACTACTAATCTATTTGGACTCCTCTCGGTCCATTCCTGCCTTCATTATTGAGTTCATCACTGAGTTTTGGTTCTTCACACATTTGCTTTTGGGTTCAGTTGTGAACGCATCACAACAGAGACCATCATCCAGGATCAGCATGATGACAAATAATGAAGGCATAGGGTCATATATGAGTCATATAACACCGTTTTATTTGCCGTTTATTTTTTTTTTACTTTTGACCTTTGAAGTGAACAAGAACCAAATGCTGTTTTTTTCCAGCTGCAGTTATATTGCAATACTGCAAGCGACATTTATTTGAAGGGGAAATGCAGCAGCTGGTGTTGTAGTTAAAATCATCTAAACACCTGGTGACATCACTTTTGAACAATAGTCCTTGCTTGGCAACAGATCACATTGAGTCGTCTGTAGAAGGTGATGCATTTAAAGCCCCAATAAATAATTTGAAAAGCTTCATCTGAACATCACTAAAAAGACAAATTGTGATCAAGGACACAATCTTGCCTGAAGCAGTGGGTGGGGCAATCTGGGGCAGCTCTGCAGTGGATGAGGTCCTATCTCTTGGACAGAACCTTCAGTGTGTGCTTATTCAGATGATGCTCCACTGAAATGAGGGGTTCCTCAGGAATCTGTTCTGGGCCCTCTTTTTTCTCCATCTGCTCTCCCTGGAAATGCGCTAAGAAATCATCAGATTCCATTTGTATGCCAATGACGGCCAAATTCAGCTGCCAGTGAAACAAGGTTAGTTGCATTTGCTCAGCTTTTGGATGAGGCACAGGTTAAAATGACCCCCCCCCCCCCCCCCAAATAATTGTCAGATGCATGGTCTGAACCACATATTTGCTCTATTCAAGACTAGGATCGCCATTATGGGTGTCAGGTTTAGATTTTACCCTGACACTTACTCCTAGGCAAATGTAGCAGTTAGATCTTATTTATTCCAGCTGCAATGCCTCCAACTAGCCAAAGCTTTCATAGCAGAATTTTGACAAATGCTTTTGCATTGTCAAGGCTGGACTATTGCAGTTCCCTGTATGTCACACTAAATCAGTGAGTACTGTCAAGACTCCAGCTGGTGCAAAAACAAAAATTTTATTTGTAAGGTCATTTTTAACCCTTGCATATGCTGCAGTGGCTACTTTTAAACTAAAGAGTTTAAAGTGCTAGTTTTAGTTTTCCAGTCACTTGATACTTTAAGTCTGCTCATGACAATTTTCCAAGTCTGGTTTTTAACTGCTCACGTTGGGAGACAAGTCTTAGTATTAAAAAAAAATTATGCATTTGCAGCCAGTTGAAACTCCTACAGTCTGAACATAAACAGTTATTCCCAGAGTTCCGAGCTTAGAATCAGTGAGTTACAGTTAAACTAGAACGCCGGGTGATTAACATGTGGTACCCTAGAACTTCTTTATAGAAGCATAGTGAGGAACCAGCTGGCAGTTTTAATTTATGGTAGTCTTTTATTTAAACAATCGAAACAGAAACCCCAGAACAATATTTTTAAATATTGGAGCCTTAAAACATCTTCAGCAGCCTGTGACTTAAGCCTTGTGATGATGTCCTTTGCCGTGGTGGTGATGATGATATTGAGGCTCATCTTGGTAGAGCTGCGTTGGGGTGTAGCGGAACTGGTTGAACAGCAGGCGCTTAAGGTTGTAATTGGACCGAGACTTGAAAGCGTACACCTCATCCTCGTCCTCCACAGGAGTGAAGACTGGCTCATCCTCACCACTGGTGTCAGATGAAGAGCTCCAGGTCTCCTCAGTCTGCTGGTAAGGTCCACTGCTACCTGTAGCTCCTTGCTGACCAACCTGAGAGATGCCCTGCTGGACCAGATAAGGAGAAGAACCCTCACCCACAGCAGTACTGGTGCTGCCACCATAGTAAAGCCCTGGATTGCTGCTATAACCCACAGAACCACTAGATTGCTGAGGATAGCCACTGTAGCCCACGTAGCCACTAGCCTGTCCCACAGGTTTCTCATAAGCTGGTGGGGACTGAGCTTGTCCAGAAGGTGAAGCCAAATACATCCACATGGGTGGTTCACCTTCAGGGACTAAAAAGAAATGTCAGTGTCATTTACAGCCTCACCTGTTCATCTCAGGTGCACTATGGTTCAGAGTCAGCTTACCTGCTTGTTGAGGAGCACAGAAGATGCCTCCGATCAGCAGGAAAGAAATCCACAACACCCTGCAAAAAACATCCTAGGTTAAAATCTAATTTCATATCAGACGATCCAACAATTAAACTCAAATCAACCTCATCCCATGAAACTTCACTGATCAAGGATCGGTACATAATGTACTTAAGGCTGAATGGACTCACCTCATTTTGCTGCTAATGCTGACAGACTGCACCAACACAGAATTCAGAACCTTCTGACAGTGACTCCAACCTGCAGGAACTGGTTTTAAATGATCCTCAGGGTGGCTGGAGACAATTGTAGCTGATTGCTGAGTGGGAACAGCTGCTGCAGGAACAGCAGGTTTGTTTTTATTGGTGATATTAATAATAACTCCCTGTGCATGCAGGGGTTCTCTCCAGGTGCTCCGGCTTCCTCCCACGGTCCAAAACCATGACTGTCAGGTTAACTGGTTTCTCTAAATTGTCCTTAGGTGTGAGTGTGTGTGCTTGATTGTTTGTCCTGTGTGTCTCTGTGTTGCCCTGTAATGGACTGGCAACCTGTCCAGGGTGTACCCCACCTGCATGCCCAGAGACTGCTGAAGATAGGCAGCCCCCCCGCAACCCTGCAAGGATAAGCAGATAAAGAAAAAAGATGGATGGATAGATATTAATGATGAGTCTGATGGTGTCACATCTCAGAGCAGCTTTTACAACTTTGGATCATGAATTTCTTCTAGAGAAACTTCAAAAGTAGGACAGGGTTTAGGAAACATTTAGATTTTATTACTGGACTCAAACCCAGTTCTTTGTTTAAACATCAGCACAGATGGAGTAAATGAGCTCCATGCTGATTTGACTCCTCAGTGAGTAAACATGACTAAAGGCATAAAAACAGCACAAACACAAAAATAGCTTTTAAAAATAATTTTTTATCTTAAATGAAATCACATCAATTGATCTATTGAACTTACAAATGCTTGTTTCTATTAAAAAAACACAGATTTTAAGTTTTTTGTTCGAGTTGGATTCATGTAAATAAACAGGAGAAAACTTCACAAATTTTGTTTAATCTATTTGGACTTCTCTATCTTTGAACTCTCTGTCCATTCCTGCCTTCATTAATGGTTCATCACTGAGTTTTGATTCTTCACACGTTTGCTTTGGGTTCACTTGTGAATGCATCACAACAGAGACCATCATCCAAGATCAGCATCATGAGAAATAATGAAGGCTTAGGCTTGTAAATCAGTCATATAACACTGTTTTATTTGCCATGTTTTACTTTTGTTTTCCTTTAAAGTGAACAAAAACCAAATGCTTTTTCACCTGCAGTTATCTTGCTTCACTGCAAGCTAAGTTTATTTGAATGGGAAATGCAGCAGCTGGTGTTTCAGTTAAAATGATTTAAACACTTTCTGGTGAAATCACTTTTCAACAATAGTCCTTGCTTGGCAACAGATCACAGAGATGTCTGTAGAAGGTGATGCATTTTAAGTCGCAAAAAATATCTGAAAAGCTTCAACCTTCATCTGGACATCACTAAAAAGACAAATTATGAATAAGGACAGTTAAGGTTTGTCCCTTTTTACAAGTGAACTTTTGCATTTCTTTAAGTAAAATAGAACATCTGTCATCTTTTTAGTAGAAAATGTCCTGAAACCCCTGTAGTTTAGGTTTAGAACTGAGACTTTTTGTTAAAAGTCCTAAATGACATGTTTTTAGCTATTGATGCTAGGGATGCAGTGGCACCCTTACTTACGGACCTTATGGCAGCCTTTGACACAATTACCAGATTTTCTCCTGCCTGGAGCAGTGGGACGGGCAATCTGGAGCAGCTCTGCAGTGGTTGAGGTCCTACCACACTGACAGAACCTTCCGAACCAAGTGTAAATGCTGTGGGGATCGAACTTTTGCCATTATGCCCCAAGATTGATACTCCTCCTTGAACCGTCACCTTATCATGGTGGAGGAGTTTGAGTGCCCTAATGATCCTAGGAGCTATGTTGTCTGCGGCACTTTGTGCCCCTGGTAGGGTCACCCATGACAAATTGGTCTTAGGTGAAGGGTGAGAGAAAGAACAGTTCAGAGGATCTTTCATGGATGTAAATTCAAAGAGTCGGAGTACGCAGCCCGGAGGATGACCGGGGTCCCACCCTGGAGCCAGGTCTGGGGTTGGGGCCCGTGAGCGAGCGCCTGGTGGCCGGGCTTTCGCCCATGGGGCCCGGCCGAACCCAGCCCAAACCGGATACATGGGCTCATTCAACTGTGGACCCACCACCCACAGGAGGAACATGAAAGGTCCGCAGGAGGAACATGAAGGGTCCGCTGCAGTGTGGATCGGGTGGCAGACCGATGTGGGAGCCTTGGCGGTCCAATCCCCAGACAAGGAAACTGATTTTTGGGACATGGAACGTCACCTCGCTGGCGGGGAAGGAGCAGGAGCTTGTGGCAGAGGTTGAGCGGTACCGGTTAGATATAGTCGGACTCACCTCGACACATAGCATTGGTTCTGGAACCCACGTCCTTGAGAGGGGTTGGACACTCTCCTTTGCTGGAGTTGCTCCGGGTGAGAGGCGGAGGGCTGGGGTTGGCTTTTTGTTAGCTCCAAGACTCTCTGCCTGTGTGTTGGGGTTTACCCCGGGGGACGAGAGGGTAGCTTCCCTGCGCCTTTGGGTCGGGGAATGGGTCCTGACTGTTGTTTGTGTTTATGGGCCAAATATCAGTTCAGAGTACCCACCCTTTTTGGAGTCCCTGGGACGAGTGCTAGATAATGCTCCATCAGGGGACTCCATTGTCCTGCTGGGGGACTTCAATGCTCACGTGGGCAATGACAGCTTGAACTGGAGGGGTGTGATTGGGAGGAACGGCCCACCTAATCTGAACTCGAGTGGTGTTTCATTATTGGACTTCTGTGCAAGCCGCAGTTCGGCCATAATGAACACCATGTTCGAACATAAGGATGCCCACCGGTACACTTGGTACCAGGGCAGCCTAGGTCGCAGGTCGATGATAGACTTTGTAGTCGTATCATCTGACCTGCGGCTGTATGTTTTGGACACCCGAGTGAAGAGAGGGAGCGGAGCTGTCATCTGATCACCACCTGGCGGTGAGTTGGATCAGATGGCAGGGGAAGATGCCGCGTAGACCTGGCAGACCCAAACGCATAGTGAGGGTCTGCTGGGAACGCCTGGCAGAAGAACCTGTCAAGACGGTCTTCAACTCCCACCTCCGGCAGAGCTTTGACCGCGTCCCGAGAGCAGTGGGGGACATTGACTCTGAGTGGGCCTTGTTCCACTCTGCGATTGTTGAGGCGGCTTTTGCTAGCTGTGGTCGCAAGGTGGCCGGTGCCAGTCGTGGTGGCAACCCCCGAACCCGCTGGTGGACACCAGAGGTTCGGGGAGCCATCAGGCTGAAGAAGGAGGCCTACAGGGCGTAGCTGGTCTGTGGGTCTCCGGAGGCAGCAGACAGGTACCGGATAGCCAAGCAGGGTGCAGCAGTGGCAGTTGCCGAGGCAAAATCTCGGGCGTGGGAGGAGTTTAGTGAAGCCATGGAGAAAGACTATCGATCGGCTCCAAAGAGGTTCTGGCAAACTGTCTGGCACCTCAGAAGAGGAAGGCAGCAACTCGCTCACACTGTTTACAGTGGGGATGGGGAGCGGCTGACGTCAACTGGGGCTATAGTCGGGCGGTGGAAGGAATACTTTGAGGAGCTTCTCAATCCTACCTACGCACATTCCGAGGAGGAACTAGAGCCGGGAGACCTGGGGGTGGACTGTCCAATCTCGAGGGCAGAAGTTGCTGAAGTAGTCAAACAACTACACAGGGGCGGAGCCCCAGGAGCGGATGAGATTCGCCCTGGGTATCTCAAGGCTATGGATGTTGTAGGGCTGTCATGGTTGACACGTCTCTGCAACATTGCATGGTCATCGGGGGCAGTTCCTGTGGAGTGGCAGACCGGGGTGGTGGTCCCCTTCTTAAAGAAGGATGACCTGAGGGTCATAAGCTGGTGGGGACTGAGCTTGTTCAGAAGGTGAAGCAGAGTACATCCACATGGGTGGTCAACCTTCACGGACTAAAAAGAAAAGTCAGTGTCATTTACAGCTTCACCTGTTTCATCTCAGGTGCACTATGGTTCAGAGTCAGCTTACCCGCTTGGTGAGGAGCACAGAAGATGCCTCCGATCAGCAGGAAAGAAATCCACAACACCCTGCAAAAACATCCCAGGTTAAAATCTTCTATCAATGCTCCAACTGTTAACCTTCACTGAGCCTCATCCCATGAAGATGAGGCTCAGTGCAGGTTAGCTGGTACATGATGTGGCTGATCCAGGATCAGCCACATCATGTACCAAGGCTGAATGGACATACCTCATTCTGCTGCTTATGCTTATGCTTATGCATACAGGCTGCACCAACACATAGTTCAGAACCTTCTGACAGTGACTCAAACCTGCAGGAGCTGGTTTTAAATGATCCTCTGTTTTCTACATCTGAAGGTAAAAGTATATTTTGACAGCAAGTAAGAAATAAATGGAAATGATGTGCCGTAAATAAGAGGGAGATATTTTAGAGTGCAAAATACAGTTAAAGTTACAAGTAGAGGGCTTAGCAAGTCATACACCATCATACATTGGTAATTTCAAGATCCTGGTCCTGGTCTTTAGGGCCTTTTATGGACAAGCACCATCATACATTGGTGATCTTCTCAGTCCCTACACCCCCAGCAGGTCCCTGAGATCCAGTGACCAAAGTCTACTGGTTGTACAGAGCACCAGGCTAAAGATAATTTGCTTCTGTGGCCCCCAGACTCTGGAACTCTCTCCCCCTGAGCCTAAGATCAGTGGACTCGGTGGTCTCCTTTAAAAAGCAGCTCAACACCCACCTGTTCAAGCTGGCTTTTCCGTGATCTTCATCACCACCCTCTTACTCTCTGCTCTTATTTTGCCTTTCCCGGTATCCATTGATTTCCCTCTTTCTTACTAATTTTTTCTCTCCCTTTCCTTGCATTTTTTTCTTTTCTCTTATTTTTAATCCTTTTTAAAATCTTTTTATACTTGAATTTTTTTAGTTTTTGTAACACCTCTTGATTTTTTTTTATCTTGAGAGGCACTATATAAAAGCTTGTTTTTGTCTTTCTTTTCTTTCAAGTGGGAGGAGGTAATTATGAATAAAATAAGAAAGGGTTGTTGTTGTTTTCTGAACCATATCTGGTTGTGTGCTGCTGTGGAAACAGTTGAACATTTGCAATGTATGTTGATCAGAAGGATGTTGGCTGTAGACGTGTGTTGTAATGGAGACTTCGGGTTTGAAAATGGGGTTGCTCAGTGTCAGTTTTGTTCAGTTTGATGTTCAGTAAAAAAGGACACTGCACGCCACATATAGTTATCAAATAGTCTGATTTCAATTTAGTAATTGACTTTGTGAATCCACTGAGAAGGGAAATACACTACTTATCAGCTGTTTGTTTGAATGCTCATTCCAGCCACCACCTGTAATCATTTTCTACAGTCACTAGTCCGACTTGACTGGAGCCAATAGTGTATGGCGATACCCTTCTCGACTGGAGGATGGACATTCCCTCACATCGGTGTCCTGTGATAATTGGTCCCTTTCGCTCGCCGTAGCTGCTGACATGTCTCTTCCTGATGAAGGGAGGAGCTAGAGGGCTTTTCCTGAGCTCAACACCTAATGATGTTGAGTTCAACATGAAATCTTTACATTTATTTTCTAACTCTTTAGTAAAATTCAAAACAAGGTAAAACGGACGAACTGCACAGGTAAATAATCCAAATGTAATCTCTACAGTCACGCAGGCTGTTGTGGAAGGTTAGTGTTATGTCGACTACTTCCTGGGACACAATGAGAACATGTAGCTGTTTGGATCTAGACGCCATGGTGGCGCTTTTATGCTCAAGTTTGTCCTCCTGAGTCTGACACTCAACACTGTGAGAATCTGCAGTTCTCACCGCTGGCGGTAAACTGAATCAAGGGCTAAAGACTGCGCTTTATGTAACTCAAAAATTCGTTTTATGATATGACAGTTGGCTAGCGACTTTGTTACAGGTTTAGAAGTCGTCACCGACTTTAGCTTCATGGAAAAACATACATTACTGTGCAAAATCAGACTCAGTCCGATATTAGATTACAATGATAGCAAAAGCTGATTGCAGTTCAAAGTCGTATTCCTGTCAACGCGCTGGTGGGTGGTCACGTGACGCGTCACCGGCTTTGCTAGCGGGCTAGCCACAACTAGCCTAGCTTAGCAAAAAAAAAAACGAGCCTAGCTTAGCTTCCTACCACCTTTGTGTATGTGGAGGTGGGTTAGGGTTAGGCTGTTTTGACTAAATCTAAGTAACATCCTTCATGATGCTAAACAAATGAGGTGTTTAAGCAGCAGGTCAGGATCGTAGAACCGCTCTGGTTTCTTTACACTGTTTTTATTCTTAGTGGCACAACCTGTAAACAGAATAGGTGCTACACACTCACTCTAGGTATATAAGTGTTATTGTCTAAAGCATGTTAATGGCTCACAGTGATTATCAAGGACGTTAAAGCAGGAAACACATTTGTTATGAGCTGCAACACTTGTTCATAACTATATGTGCTAAACTAGCTGAGGATACAGATGACAGCATTCACCAGAATGTAATCCGTGACATCTGTCAATATTTCTTCTAAATGTGAACACGATGCTCATCATAACCAGCCCTTTGTATGGATATAGTTAGTCTGTTGAAGGTGAGGTTGCCCAGCCTGTCTTCTATGTGCTGCAAATGAACCAGGTATAACACTATACTATATACAGGTATATATTATACTATAACAAACACTGTTTTTCAGGTGTGGCTGAAAACACCAATTATATGTTCAACCATGAGGAGGAGGAAGGTACCAGATCTGTACAGAGCCCCCTTTCCATTGTACAGCATTAAAGTGGACCCTGCTACCGGACTGGTGATCACAGCAGGAGGGGGTGGAGCTTCAAAGACTGGCATCAAAAATGCAGTGGTAAGGACTGGATGTTGCTAGAGTGGGCCAGTATGCCTAAATTCTGGTTTGGGTCCTCAGTTTGTCACGGTTTGTTCATTTTCAGCGAGGGAAAGAAAAATGAATGAATAACATAGCAGTTTATAAAGTATTTGGGAAACTGTAACATAAATACTTGGATTCCTCAGCTGCAACTGAAACAACAAGCTGAACTTTTGATAAATCTTCTGTCTAAATTAAGCTTTTTACTTAATGCAACATTAAGAGTTCCAGCTTGTAATTGTTCAGGTTCATTCCTTCATGTTTTCTGATAGAAATATCAATTTATCCACATTGTCTCCTGAAGGACAGATTTGTTGGCAGTTTCAACGTCTCCAGCTGTAGAAAATATTGTCTTACATGGGACAGAGTTTGGTGCTAAGTTTTAGTTTTATAATGGAAACGGGAGATCAATCTAAAGAGTTAACTAGTCTGAATTCACAGCCTTCACTTCTGGTCTTTCAGGTCAATGAAGGACCTGGTGTCCTTTTTATAAAGTATGATTTACATATAGATTTCATACCATCTGATAAAAAACATTATAACCAAAGCAACAGACCCAGAAAACTAAGAAAAAAATGCAAAAATATTTGAGAAAAGTTACACATGAGTATTATCTAGCACATTCATCTAACACATAGTCATCAGTGAGTATCATCCATTTTCGGAGAGGTAACGGGGTTTACAAGAGGTAGCCATCTCTTAAAATCAGAACCTTAATATCAGAATATTCAGTGTACCTCTGAGGGAATATTTAGTATTTTCCAGTTTCGTAAAGTAACAGACATATTTGATCCATTGAGAATGAGTAGGCTCTTCTGGCCAGTAATGCAACAAAGCTACCATGTCGGCAAAGTGGGCGGGGAAGGTACAATCCATAGGTGTGATACCAAACAGGGCAGACAAAGAGATTGTGGGATTTTCACAGATGCAATAGCTGAAATCGAGCCAAAAACAGATTTCCGAAAAGATGATAATGTAGGACAGTTCAGAAACATGTTTACGGTTAGCTGGGCCAAGAATAAACAGTTTGAGTCAATATTAGCGGAAATCGGAGCCAACCTGCCCCTGGACCAGTGTGCCCCATGCACTACCTTATCATTGAAGAATGCAATGCCTGGCACAGATTGAAGAAGAGTGGATTTGTTTCAGTATAGACTGCTATTGTCCATATCCTATAGCTAGCTACACCAAGGTCTTTAGATCAAGTTAATCAAAGGTGGTCTGATGTTGCAGTGAAGCTGTTGATAAGTAAATGATAAATGCTGGAAATGACCCTTTTCATAGTGGGCTCAATTGCCACTGTTTTTTTAAACATTGCTAACAAAAAAGGGAGAAAATTTGTCAACAAAAGTTTTTATAAAATTCTGACTGAAAACCATCAGGACCAGAACTCTTTCTACTCTGCAAAGACATCACTGCACTTTCAATCTCATTAATAGTGAATGGTTTATCTAATCCAGCTGCAACTCTGGATTCGATTTTGGGAATCATGAGGTGACTAAAAAAGTTTTCATAGTTGCCATCTCCGGGTGTAATTTCAGAAGCATATAAGTTAGAATAAAACTCCACACTGATCTTGAACTGACACCAGTCTATGTGGACCAGGTGGGTTGTGTCCTTTGAAGGATGCAGCTCTTGGATTTGGACAGGATTGCTCGTGTTGGTGGCTAAAAATCAACGGAGTTTGATGGTTAAGGGGCTGCTGTCAGCACCGGTACCGGCTTAGGTCAAGGACCCTCCGGCTCAGTGCTGGTCAAATGTTTTTGGAGTCTTCCTCTTTAAAGAGGGACTTCACACCATCAGAAAACGTAACTCCACCCCTAGTCAGGATTTGAAAAATGCTATAAAAGTGGGCGTTGCCAGGAGGCACGGAGTGGTTTGGCCAAGTGTGGGAAATTTCCATCCCGGGAGGGAGAGGGAGTGGGAGGAGACCGTAACAATGACATGAAATTGTACCAGCCCCATTCAATCACAAATACAGTAGCCACAGTTCAACCCACAGGGGGCAGACTTTAGACCTAGATTCTAGATGTAATCAACTTTACAAAAACTTGTCAAAAAATGCACAGAAACAGAAAGATTGCATTTGTAAAGGCTCAATTATACAGTTTATAACTCTAGTTACTCTTTAAGTTGTTACCATACCAAGTTTATTTATAAAGCACATTTAAAAACAGCATGACAGCTGACCAAAGTGCTGTACAGTAGTAGTAAAAGGAAAAGGAACCCTCAGGATCTTTTAAGAAATTAGTTACAATACATTTGAAATCATTTCCCTAATGTTGTATTTTGTTATCATTTTATATCAAAGATTAGTTACCTTTTGTTAGATACATTAAACTATTCCTACTGAAAGAAAGCGATATAGCGCCTCAAGATAAAAATCAACTTTGACTCCTGCCTACAGGGGAGTATAATGACAGTATTGTGATTGTGGGTTTAACGTATAAAACACAGCCTACATATTTAAGTTGTTCTGATGAATAGTACATGCGATCTTATAGAATGAACCAGAATCTATGATGTTTTTTGTGTGTTTAAATGGGTTGGCTGAGTATCTGACGGTTGTGTTTTTCAGCTCTTCCTGGATCTGCAGCTGGCTGGAGAACACCAGTACAGTTCCAGTCTTCTCCACTCTCATGACACAGACACACGTGCCACCATGAACATGGCTGTGGGTGATGGAGTCATAGCTGCAGGACAGGACGGGACCTGCTGCCTCATGACCTTTAAACTCCTCACACAGAAAGGAGGAAGTGTTGCTCCTAAACATGGTAAAATACACATGCAGTCTTAGGTCATGTGCACACGTAGCTGGGTTTTAGTAAAATAAAACCCTCCCTCCAAGGTAATAGGGCAGGAGTAGAGCTAGAGTGTCCAGATTTACAGCTGCTCACTTCTGGACTTTGTGGTCGACGAAGGACCTGGCCTTCGAAGATGAAATGGGCCAGGTCCATAGAAGGGTGGAGCCCCTGAATTTGGACACCACTGTACTTCTGTGTTTAAATAAGTAATCCTAAGTTTCTTGTAAAGTCAGATCTTCTCCTTTCTTGTTTCTGAGGAATAATTAATTATAAATATTTAAAGCAGACTTCGCGTTTTGCACAGTTAGTGTTTTCTCGTTGGTTTTATCAAGTGAAGATGAGTTTCTCATGTGCATTAGGTAACAGCGCACAGTTGGGCAACACCCGGAGGCGAGCTGGAAAAACAGACAGTACCAAGTCTGGAGACATGTCCGACATGAAGGACGACACGGCTCATGTCACTGTGACGGCTTTAGCTGACGTACAGTCGGACCTGAACCCGCAGGACCCACTCCAGAAGGTGGTCCGCTTCAGTCCAGATATGAAGCTCCTGCTGACTGGAGGCACAGATGGACACGTCAGAGTCTGGGAGGTAAACGCTGCTTTAAAGTTTGTTTCCGTCAACATGTGGGTTTGGTTTGGTAAAAGCAGTCAGTTTGAACCTCATGTAAAGTAGGAGCTCTAATGATGACGCAAAGCACATGTGTTGGTGTGTATTTGTAAGGATGAGTTTGTGTGAGTGTGATGACCTGGGTGTGTTCTGCAGTTTCCATCCCTCAAGAAAAAGTTTGACTTCAAAGCACATGAAGGGGAGATTGAAGACTTGGATATAAGTGCAGGAAACAAGGTGAAAACACACACACACACACACACGCACGCACGCACACACACACACACACACACACACACACAGGATTTGATATTTAATTCAGCTAGAGTGTGTAGTGGCTCATCACTAGTTGTGTTGTTCTCCTGCAGCATCTGGTAACCATTGGCCGAGACTTTGCCTGCAGTGTGTGGAGTGGGAACCAGTTGGCTATGAAGCTCCACTGGCATCAGACTGTGCCTCATATAGCTGAGAAGTCGTATCGGTATTTGGCTTGCAGGTAAATACATAATTGTGTCTTTCTTTGCATCTTCTTTTCTTCCTGGGTTAAAACCAACCCTTTTATTTCCTAGTCACAGCTGTATACTATGTTGTATTCAAGTTGCAGAGAACAAAGCTCACCTTACATAAAAGGAGTCACCTGCTCCAAGATATAACAGCAGATGCAGAGGGGAAGACATTGTACTTACCTCGGGGGGTGGGTGGGGGTGGGGGGTATATACAATGGGAGGAAGAGGAGCCGTCAGCCACATCAGTGTGTGTTTAATCCATTTCAGATTTGGAAGGGTGGAGGACCAAAAGGGCTCTCTGAGGCTTTACACGGTGCAGATTCCTCACAAACGAGACAGAAAACCTCCTCCCTGCTACCTCACCAAGTGGGACGGAAAGAGCTTTCTTCCCATGTTGACGTGTCCCTGTGGTACTGAAGTGATCTCCACCATGACTGTCTGGTAACTCCTTCACACAATCTGGATACTGGAGAAGTCATTCCTGCCTTAAAATCCCAAAAATGTTTAGGGTTGGATGAAAACCGAGACAGAAGGCAGCTCTAGGGGGGGCATTCAAACAAATAGCTGGGAGTCGTTGTTCCTGCTGATCTGACTTATTCAGGATGAAGATGGGGATTTTGTCTAAAAGAGGAGGCCCACTGAGAAACCATATTTTACTTGTTGTTTTTGAAAATGATCAGTCACTGAGCTTAACATGCAGGCTGAACGTGAAAACAGCCTCCCTCTATCTCCTGCATTAGCTTCGGATTTAAAATAGACGAAAAAATGCCCTGGTCAGAAAATCCTAACAGAGCTGCATCACACTGTCAAGTAACATTCATGGACTCACCCATCTTGGCTCACGAGGGGGAAGGCTGTTGGTGGTTTAGCATCTAGAAAATGTTACAGAATGCCTTGGCTAGGGTAAGCTTAGCATTAGCAACTCCACCACACAGCAGAACTCCTCCAGACTTGTTATTTGTGGAGATAAAATATAAATGTTGCAAAGTAGACAGTCAGTGGTAGTCCCATTGCTGTTAGCCAATCAGAGGCGAGATGTCCAATCAGGAAATAGGAGTCCAAACCTGATGTTTTCCGTCACTAGTTGTCCTCCGACTGACTTCTGCGTCTTTAAACAGGAGCACCAGTTTTTATCCCCAGATTACGATTTACAAGGCATTCATTCTTTCCAGAGACCACTGCAAGTGTATTAAAATATGAGTACGGCTGATCTTAATCAGAATATCGTAGATTTTAATCATGGAAATCTGGATTTTTATTGGCTGCTGATCTCCTTGTAGACCTTCCAGTCTAAAACTGATTTTTTATTTCAAACTACATCCACACATTTATCTTTAGGCTGAAGTATTGCTGCTGATGGTAGGAACACGGTGGCAGGTCGGACCCAGTCTTGTTTGGAGCTAGATCGGCTTTCCGAGGATGCTGGTTGACACACTTGTCTTCAACAGTGACTCTGGGATGTTTCTTGGCCTTGGGACTGTGACTGGATCAGTAGCAATATACATCGCCTTCTCCCTGCAGGTAACGATGATCGGACTAACCGGCAGGTGAGCTGAGCATCTGTGTACTCGTTCTCTCTTGATCTTTGTGTGCAGAAGCTGTATTACGTTCAGGAGTCTCACGGCATTGTCGTGACGGATCTGGCCTTCTTACCAGACTCCTTCAAAGGCAAAAACATCAAGGGAAAAAATGAAGTGGCCATGCTGAGCGTAGCTGTCGACAGTCGCTGTCAAGTACATACGGTCGCTGCTCAGAGTGAGTCCTGAGTCAGTCTCAGCTCTCTGAATGTTAACATAACCACTCACTGTTGTCCCTTTGTGCTTACCGTAGGGTATCTCCCTATCTGGCTGGTGATCCTCCTCTGTGGCCTTATGATGGTGGGAGTGGCCTTCCTCTTACAGTACTGGTTTCCAGGATTACTTTAATCAGTGTGAACTTCAGCAGAGCTCAGTCCAAACATCTACGCCCCGGCCAGCAGACCATGCGTTTTAATTTATTTACTTTAATCAACATCAGTTCTTTTCCAAATGTTCTGCATTATAACGTTGAAGGCTGTTTAAAAGGTGACTGACATTTCAGTCAAACCCCTGAATGATTTCCATCTTTTAAAACCAATCTAGGTGTTTTTTAATTTTCCCAAATCATCTTTGGAGGAAAATAAACACATTTAAACAGCAGTTGGGTTGTCTCGGTCCAGTTACCAGAAGTCACCTCACAGAAACAAAAGCGACAACTTAAATTTACTGGATATGCTCCTAAAAGCCTCAATGCAAAGGTCAGAAATGAGGAGACTCCTGAGTTTCTGTAGTTTAAGACTGAACTGCAGTTTTATATTCATGTCTGTTCCTCGTGTCACCTGCTTAGAATGCTGGTCATGAACATGTCAGATAACAACTCTATATGACTATATGATTTATGTCTAGTTTTCACAACCCAGCGAGGTCCTGGCTCAGATGCATCTGAAGGGGCAGCATGGTGCAAATGAACTAAAACTGGTTTAATGAAGAAACTCCTTCAGCAGCAATTCTGTAAGATAAATTTAAAAAAATGGAAAAGGGATTAAATGCGTTTGTTGAATCCGTTTTAAGACTTTATTTGCACATATGCCTCGTGCACTCAGATCACCTCTCCTGTAAGACTCATCCCACAGCACACAACCAGGCAGACTTGGTGAAAGAATCAGGGCTGTGTTGCCGGAGTGGACCCAGTCCACCTGGCAGAGACCACAAAAGACTCAAGGACTTGACTTTGGATTAATCATCCTTTTAATTAAATGAAATTCACAAAACCCAACCAGAGTTAAGAATTTTCTCTAGGAAGATGTTAATATATGAAGTTGTTTTGATGAGAATGAACAGCTTGTTGTAGGAGATAGCGCTCATGAGTCTGAGCAACACAAAGTAAATCCACCTGCACCCTAAGAACACCAGAGTCTGGAAACGGCATCTGAAGGACAGGGAACAGAAGAAACATTGTGTGTATATTTCTCTGACTGTACATCTGTAGAATAAACCAAACATTTAACCATGGAACCTCCATAAAGTCCCACTCGCTCCTCCAGCCTCATCTGTTGGCATCTTCTCTTGTTCTGAGATGCTTGGTAGGTTAGATGATGAAACCTCACTGAAACCAGACCCATATAGGCTTTGCCAGGATGTTTTGTAACAGAGCTGCAGGGGTTAGTCAACATAATCCACTACTAAAGACCTGGACACAGATGGTCAATGCATCCTACAGAACATCAAATAAACAGCTCGTGGATCCTGAAGACTGAAGAGGTCCAGATGATAATCAGAACCGCAGCTCAAACACAAAAACAAACTTGAAACATGTCTGCAGGATAAAGTTGTTTCTTTTTACCAGACCAACACTGGCCTTGGCATCAGTTCAAGTCTTTTGACCTGAGGCTCTCATGTCTGTGTGTCAGAACCGTCTCTGTCCCAGTCTTTCATGGTGGCTTCCATCATGAAGTCCTCTCTGAGGACATTCCAGGCAGGCTTCTCCTCTGAATCAGGAACCTAAACACAGATTACACCACAGCTCACACACGGGGTCCTCCCACCCACCCATCCATCGCTCTTAATTAAATCTGCAGTAAACTCACTGCGTCCTTCTGCGTCTTTCTGGAGACCTCGCTTCCATCCTCCGTTTGTCTCAGCACAGAGATGAAGTCTCTTTTTGAGAAAGAAGACAAAATCTTGCTCTTTTTCCTTTCTGAACCACCTACGTCCCTCAAGCGGTCATCAGTTGTTTTCTTGTGTTTCCTAACCGAGTTGAACAGCTGCACCACACCTCTGACGGAAAGAAAGTGAAACAGAAACTAAAATGACTTTAAGCTCTGGCACTTATAGGACCCCTGTGTGAAAGTGAGTCATCACCTTGTCGCGATCCTTTGTAGGGCTCTTTCATTCTTGTGGTCCTTCACAATGTCGGGTTTGTCTCGACACATCATCTCCCACAGTCGCTTCTTGTCCATCTGTGGAAGGAAACAACGCCAGCATTAATTCAAGTTTATTTATTGTGATACCACATTTATATAGCGCCAAATCACGACAAGAGTCATCGCAAGGCACTTCACATAATAAACATTCCAATCCAGGTCAGTTAATTAAGCCAATCAGAAAAAATGTTTCCTATATAAGGAACCCAGCAAATTGCATCAAGTCACTGACTAGTGTCAGTGACTTTACAGCAATCCTCATACTAAGCAAGCATTTAGCGACTGTGGAGAGGAAAACTCCCTTTTAACAGGAAGAAACCTCCAGAGAATCCTGGCTCAGTATAAGCAGCCATCCACCACGACTCACTGGGGATCGAAAACACACACACACACACACACACACACACACACACACACACACACACACACACACACACACAGTAATGTGTCTATAGTTATATTGTGATTTCTTAGTAAATATTCTATTTGGTGAGAGATAAACTTTATTGTATTTATCCTAGTGAATCTATAATTAAACGGGTAAACTAGTAGTAGCACATCCAACGTCAAGGAAAGCAAAAAGTTATCAGGAGAGAGAGAATGTTTAAGTGATTAGCAGCAGTGTGCTAGACGATGGCCCCCTCCATGAGGCCACCACAGCTCAGCAGAACATCATTGTAACTTCTTCTGGGGAGAAAAGCACTTAGAGAATAAAGTTAACAGCTGAAATTGCAGAAAATAATACAGTTAAAGAGCAGAGTGTGAAAAGTGGTCAGTGTTAGTCTTGGGCGGTATACCGGTTCATACTAAAAACCGGTATTTTTTTTTGCTGATATGAATTTTTCACATACCGCTGAATGGCCTAGACAACGTACAGAACGTTCGTAGTAGGAAAGTGTTTCAGCGGGGACTCATTTCACTGCTACACACAAACACCACAGCGTGATGAATCCAAGAATGGCGGCTGGCAGGAGCTGTCACGGCGACATCAAAACTTCGAATGCAAAAGAATTTATTCCAGAAAGAGGACCCACGTCTGTAGTTTGGAGGTTTTTTGGGTTTAAAAGTTCGGACGTGGAGCAAACAGCTTTTATATGCTAATTCTGTCGAGCAACGGTGGTAGCCGGCGGGGGTAATACCAGCAACTTACTTCATCACCTCAGCCGAAAACACGTCTTGGATTACCAAGAATGTCTCAAGCTTCGATCTGTAGCCTCCACCTCCAAGGCTAAAACGGCTAGTAGCAGTCAGAGACAGACGTCCATTAAAGACGCGTTCGCTAAAGGGACTGTTTATTAAAAAAAGCAAGCGGTGGGTCGAGATAACCAAAGCAATAACGTTGGATGTGAAATCATAAAGATGGTTAACTGCACAGACTATATGCAAAATGTGTTCAGTAAAAATAGTTCATTTTGACTGTAATATTTTATATTTCGAGTTGGTTTTCTTAACTGCTTTCTTTTGACAAGGATACTTTGAGGGGGTTTCTGCATATACCTACCTGTGACTGGACATGGAAAAACTGGTTTTCTGCACATGAAGGTAAAACGGGGTATTTAAGGCCAATCTAGTGCAGTAATTATTTTCTTATAAAAATAATCTGAGTAAACACAGCCTTATGAAAAATACTGTCAAACCGATATAATTTTAAAAAGTACCATGATATGACATTTTTGCCATACCGCCCAGGCCTAGTCAGTGTATCCTCCAGCAGTCTAAGCCTATAGCAGCATAACTACAGAGATAACTCTGGATAATCTATCCTATTTATTAGATGGAGGCATGTTGAAGGCAGGGCAAGGGAGAGCCGTCTTTACCGACTGTACACTCCACCTCCCTCTACTCCCCCACTTGTCCAGATTTAGGCTAACATCAGATTTTAACCATAGGCCCTATCACATAAAAATGTTTTAAGCCTAGTCTTAAAAGTAGACAAGGTGTCTGCCTCACGGACTAAACCTGGGAGCTGGTTCCACAGAGGAGCCTGATAACTAAAAGATCTGCCTCCCATCCTAATTTTAGATATTCTGGGAACCACCAGTAAACCTGCAGCCTGAGAGCGAAGTGCTCGGTTAGGAACGTATGGAACAATCAGATCACTGATGTACGATGGAGCTTGATTATTAAGAGCTTTATATGTGAGAAGGAGGATCTTAAAATCTATTCTGAATTTAACAGGTAGCCAATGTAGGGAAGCTAAGACAGGAGAGATATGATCTCTCTTTTTAATTCTCATCAGAACTCTAGCTGCAGCATTTTGGACAAGCTGAAGAGCATCATGCTAGGCTCTGAATGCAGCATGTTTGTTGGACAGGAAGGACCCGCTGGCTGGATGACAGTATCCGAACCACATCAGTCACCTTAATGAGCGGTACACCTTCTGAACCCAAGAGCATCCTTACCCTGTTTTATAAAACCTCTGTGGGTGTAAGCCACTAGCGCTACAGATGTGCACACAGCAGGCCGCGGGGTTATACAGCTGGATCTGATCTCAGATTTGTCATTAAAGTGAATAAATGAAAACTTAACAAGTCGTAGCAATTCCTATTGTCAGTAACTAGAGTTAAGCTAGTCAACAGTAAGTCCCAGAAGTACGAATGAACAAACTCTCACTCACATGCATGCACGCACACACACTCCATACCTGTTTCTTCTTTTCCAGCTCCTCCTTTCTCCGCATTTCCTTCATCTTATCCAGTTCTTTGCTCTTAACCAGGATTGTACCACTTGTAGTTTTCTTCCCCAGAATCTTTGCCATAGTATCGGCCCATCCACATTTAGCTTCCTCCTCTCCGTCGTTAACCCCTCGGCTCTCCTCTTCACTGCAGTTATCAGCATCAATGCTGTTTTCTCCTTCATCATCTGAGTTTGCGTCGGTACTTCCTCCTCCTTCTTGTTCATGACTGACCCCATCCTCTCCTGAACCACACAAACATATTAAGATTGGAGCTGAGGAGCTGATCCTTCTCCATAACACTGTAGAATCCATCAGCATCATCAGAAAAAGCCCCAAAGAAATCTCAAACAATCTTCTATAACAGTCAGGTACCAGCAGGCCACACTTCAGCTTGGTAGTTTAACCGAGGACTTTTGCAGAAACCAAGCTTACATAAGCTTTGTGTTCATGAGTAACAACTTCAGCAACCATGGGTGAGATGTTCCTACTGAGGAATTAAGATGTAGGACTAAGATTTGTGTCGCTCTACATGACCATCAGAAAATCCTCAGCTCAAAATGGGCAAGGTACTGGACCAAGTGAAAATGAATGAAGGGTTTGCGATGTTACAGAAACATGGGTGGACCAGCTGACATCCTGGCTCGTGATAAGCTGACTGTGTTTACAGGTAGAGCAGTATCTGGAGATCGATCATGACAGATGGACCACAGGACTGAAATCTGTCCTTTTGTGACCAAGTCAGACAGAAGATATGTTAATGTAGGCCTGAGCAGGACCCAAGTTACTGACACCATGGTACCAATTACCATTAGGATTAGTCTGAATCAGGTCTGGATAAGTTAACGCAAATCTTATACAAGTAAAAGGTACTGAGAAGAGGGTCGATGGTTGAAGATCAGACTGATTTGGAGTAATGAGGTTTTCATCCTGGCCATGGGACCATGGACCAGCTCTTCACTCTTGCTAGGGGGCGGGAGTTTGTCCAACCAGTCCTTAAGTGTTTGGTGGATCTGGAGAAGGATTACGACCGAGTCCCCGGGGGTCACACTGTGGGGGCTCTCGGGAGTGAGGGGTGGGTCTCTTTCAAGGACCATTCTGTCCCTGTACATAGAGCGTGAGTCTGGTCCTCGTTGCTGGACCCGTCTCCGGTGAGGGTTGGACTGCACGGGGCTGTTCATTATGGACAGAATTTCTAGGTGCAGCCTAGTCTAGTCTAGTCTTTCTAGTGTTTGCTTTAATTAGATGATGTGGTCCTCTTAGCGGATGTAGAGACATCACATTTACTGTCTTCCGCAGGACAAATAATGTCAAATACACCTGACTCGCCAGGACAAATATGCCTTTTTCTATGACAAAACGGGCTCATTTTATCAGGAGGAAAAATCACAACACAACACCAGTATTCAGGTGAATTGTCTCTCTGTTACCCCCGCGTCGCTATTCAGTCGATTCTCTTACCCGACTGCCCACCAGAACAAAAACATGGGTTTAAAGTCAGTGGCAAATATTGTTTAAACGGTGACTTCAGCAGATTACTAAATTAAAACCACCTCACCAGTATGTTGTTCCACGTGCGTACCACCTCTCGCCATCTTGAATTTCTTCTTCAAGGTTTATTGACAGGTGTCAAATCAAAAATATGCATTACCGCCACCTGCTGGACAGAAGAAGGAAACGACTACAGAATAAATTAATTAGATTTTTTTATTTACATTTGCAGACCAAGAATTTTAAAAATGTAAACAAAAACGAACAAAAAAAGTGTAACGACCCAAGTACCAGAAAGAAAAGATAATTTAAAACAATACAAAGACAAATTTAGTCAAAGTTTCAAACATAATTTTGATTGGTGGTGCTGTTCTCCGTAAAGGTTTGTTTGCCTTGGAGTTGGTGCATGAGACTTCACCAGGAGCAGCAAATGTATCTCTTTATTATCTAAACTAATAATTATCTCTTTATTATTAATTATTACTCATTTTTGGCGTCGTGTAGGTAGTGTGGAAGACACTCGGCAGGTGGCGGTATTCACCTAAAGGTTGTTTGCATACGCAAGAAGAAGAAGAAGAAGAAGGCAGCTGAAAGAACAGAAGAAGAAGCGGCTGAATACTAGCTAGCATTAATGTAAGTACTAACATCCATATTAGCTAATGACTGACATACACGCGTTCAGTATTATCATTCGCCAGCTTAATAAGGTTTAGTTTACAAGTGTTTAGTGGTTAGTTAAGGGAAAATTTCGTTTGCTGTCTGCTCCGGAGGCGGTGTAAGTACACATTTAGGGACTGTTTACTGTTTAATACAAAAATAAATAAATAAATAAAATCACACGTTACTCATCCAGGCTGCGTAGTTTTAAGTCATTAAAGATCAGCTTTGTCTTGGTGTCACTTTTTCATCTTTGTATAAATGTGACCTGTGTGAGACTGGTGTATGTTATTTTCTTCCAGCATGGCGGTCAAATCTGGAGAAGAGCGTCTGAAGGAGATGGAGGCTGAGATGGCTCTGTGAGTGTTACTTACTGAATGTTTCAGCTAGTGTTTACAGGAATGTGCCCAGCTGCTTATCTGTTGTTGAAAACGTGTTCTCACTCCAGTGTGATTTGTTGTCCAGCCTTGAGCCACAGCTTCCGTTGTCACTTTCTTCTGTCACCAAATCCAAACCACCAGGTGTTTATTATAGCTTCTGTTGTCACACTGCAGACTCTTAACTGTTCTTCTTTGATTTAATGTAAAAATATTTAGCTGACTTAATATTTATGCAATTGCATTTAAAGCTGGGGGTTTCTTTATTTCTACAATATGAACCATAATCTGACCGTCGTCCCTCCATCTCACACTTTTATCTGAACTAGAAGAAATGAACAAATAAAGAATTCTATGCAGGAAACGCTCAGAGCTTTTAGGAGGGTTATGTTTACTATAATCTCTGTTAGATTGTTTCATATCTGTATGTGTGTCTGGTACAGGGGCTGACAAACTTGACAACCCAAAAAGCCCCCCACCCCAGTTGACCCTAATAAAATGGGTTCGGAAGCTAAAGAGCCATTTTGGAAGCTCCAAAGCTACTCGTGGCAATCAGTGGATCCTGGGAAAAGCAGAATCAGCTGAAAGAGCAGAACAAAGCTAACTCAGGTGTTTGCTAACCATTAAAATTAAGTCCTGTCTGCCTCGGGGGCGGGCATCTAACCTGAGAACCCACCCAATTGGCCAAATGGGTGAAGAGCTCAAGTTGACTTGTTAAAAAAACATCATGCTTCTGTTTGATTGACAGAATGCATTATGTGTAGCAAACTTTTGAGTTGACCATTCATTGTGATATTTATCTGTTCTTTGCGATATGCATATTGCGCATGCTGATATCACGATAACGATAAATTTGCGATACATTGTGCAGCCCTACCCACTACTGTGATAGAAAAAAATGTTCTCTTTCAAATGTAATTTCCTCTGTAGTTTTGAGCAGGAGGTTCTTGGTGGTCCAGTGCCGATCTCCGGAAGTCCGCCTGTCATGGACCCAGGAGCCGTAGCTCTGGCTGTCCCAGTCATTTCTCTGGTGCGACCGATTATTGGGACAAACACCTACAGACAGGTTTGTGTTGTGAATCAATCCTTTTTCTCTACCGGTGATTAATAAACTTACAGAGAAAAAATGGTCAATTTATTGATTGAGAAAAAGCTCAGAATGCTTTTGACCCCGTTCTACCTTCTCAGGTCCAGCAGACTCTAGAGGCTAGAGCGACTAGCTTTGTTGGCCCCCCACCAACGTTTGTGGGACCAGGTAATAAAATCCATGCTGTAAGATTGCCTTCTCTAAATGCTAAAGAAAAATATTGCATCACGGTTTGTCAGTGTTTTAAATGCATCATAACTGGATAGTTATTTTTGATGCTCTTTAAAACGTGAGTCAAACATGCTTCTGTTTTACAATAACAAGCTAAAGTTGTTCGTGATGGCGTTCTGATGTGATGTTCTCTTTCTGCTCACCAGTTCCCTCCATTCGTTCACCTCCACCTCCCATCATGAGACCAGCCTTTGTTCCACACATCCTGCAGAGACCCAGTAAATCCATTTTCTCTTTACTCACCTAAATATCTTCAACATGAAGATAATGACCAGTGGAGCGACAGATGTTCCCACTGGGTCATTAGTCATGATGGTAGGAGGAAGCAGCCTCTGACACGACCGTGTTTTAAACATCAGACAGAAATTTGAATTGCTGGAGTCTTTTCTCTGGGCTAATCACAGATCAGGATAACAGGTGTTTGGTTTTTGATCAGCTGTGGGGACAACTGAGCTACAAAGAACGACCGACTTTTGGACTGGCTGGTCTTTGGTTAAGCTGAATTACGTAAAATAATCTGATGATGGACAACAGAGCTACCAGATTTAAATCTAACATAAAAACAGCTTATTTTATGCTGTGATGTTCATGTTTTCAGTTGTTTGGTCTTCAGGGTTGAATGTTAAGAGATAAAATGTGACATTTAGCAGAAGTTCCTGTGGAACTCTGAAACATCTGGACTCCTGGTGGTTTGTTCCTCCTCCTGTTGAGATGGGGTGTTTATGGTAGCTCTGTGTTGATAGGTGGTCAGAGGATACCGATGATGCGCAGTCCTCCAGTAGCACCTCCCCTACCACGGCCTCCTCCCCCTCCCCCCATGATGGTTCCTCCTTCCCTGCCAGGCCCGATACCTCACGGTCCCCCACAGCCCATTCAGCACATTGCAGCCTCTCCTCAGGTAAAGAGACGATATCCATCAGCACTTGGTTGCGGAGTATGCATCATTTATTTAGTTGTTCTGGTGTTGTTCTCAGGTTGGTGACATTGTCCCGATGATGCCAGGCCCTCCAAGATCGGTGGGCCCGCCCTCCCTCAAACCAACGCCATCCATCATCCAGGCAGCACCAACGGTGTACTCTGCTCCACCTGTGACGGTTGGACATAAGAGAGTTGATCCTCAGGCCCAGAGACAAGCCAGAATGGTGTCTGCACTCTGATCAACATCTAAACATGTTTATCTGAAGTTTTGCATCTAAAATAACTAAACACTGCCACATGGGAAGTGACTGTGAGTGTGTGTGTGTGTGTGTGTGTGTCCATCAGGAAGAACTGGCAGCACGGGTTGCTAAGCAGCAGGCTGCAGTATTGGCGGCAGGCCTACTTGACAAGAAGGAGAGTGATGAGAGCAACTCTGTGATTGGTCCAAACAGGCCTGAGCCGGAGCCCCCTCACATTGAGGTGATTATAACATATTGTTATCTGAATTGTGTGATGAAAACATCTATCAGTGGTGACGAGATGTATTATTCACTAAAACAAAACTCTTGAGTCTGTTTCCGCCTTCAGATTCAGGCCCAGCGCGAGCGCATGCTCCTCACAGCAGACAGAGACAGAGAAACAGCTTTAGTCAGAGTCTATGTTCACTCCTCAGAATCAGGAGTGATAATGAATTGAAGCCCCCGCTGGCAGATTCTACCCGCCAATCAGCTCCCCCAATGGTAGGCGTGAATTTGAGCCGGCCAATCAGTCGGCAGTGGGTGTGTTGGACCAGTTCAGCCTGAAGCAGACCGCCTTGGGAATTGGGCCGAAGTAAACAACCGGTTGAGCACGTAAAAAAAAAAATCCAGGCTACCCAGATGTCAACACTTTATACCACACCTGGGTGGAGTAGAGCCAGCCCTTTAGTTAGCTCCAGTGGCAATGGTCATTACATTACATCTCTAGTGATTATTTCTAATGTGAAAATTTCACAACAGGCCATCAGAACTGTAAAAATTTGAGAATATGAATTCACAAGTTTGTGTGTGTGTTTTTATTTTTATTTTTTTTTATTGTTTATCTGTTCCAGCCTGTGGAAAGTTCTACAGAGGACAAGAAGAAAGGCAAGAACGAAAAGGTGAAGAAGTGCATCCGTACAGCAGCAGGGTCCAGCTGGGAGGATGCCAGTCTGCTGGAGTGGGAGTCAGGTAATCCCTGCTGGCAGGAACTGAACTCTATGGAAAGCTGGAGTCAATAGAATGAGAATGATTAAAGAGCAAGTCACCCCCTACTCCACCCACGCTTCCTGTTTGAAAAATGCACCTAAAGTAGGAGTCGCCTGGCAAACCAAGAGTGGTGCTGAGGCAGTGACTGACAGCGTCACCCTCAACCCCCTCACCTCAGAGAAATGAGCCGATAACAAGCGCGCACACACACACACACGACCCCTTGGTATACGTTTTTGAGTAGGAGCTCCAGGGTGTCTGACCCAAATGAACGGTTCTGTAAAAGCTGGTGTTATTTCTCCTGTTTTTAAAGCTGTCTGAGAACTTTGGTGATTCATGTGTTTGAACTGTTTCTTCTGTTTCAGATGATTTTCGTATATTTTGTGGGGATCTTGGTAATGAGGTCAACGATGACATTCTAGCCAGAACCTTCAGCAGATACCCGTCTTTCCTCAAAGCAAAGGTAAGCCTGGCTCTGTAGGTTTAGGGGTTGGTTAGTGTTTCTCACAGGACTGGTCGGTTTGGATAATCATTGTTTAATAAATCTATACGAAGTGAACGAGTAGAGCACATAAAAGTTCAGACCTTAAAAGAGCAGAGAACGTAAACAGGAATGGATCCATCAAAGAAGCTTCAGTAGGATGGGTGTGCAGCTCTCCTTTCCAGTTACAGAAAGTGACCTGAAAATTAGAATTGGAGAGCTTTATTGCAACAAAGGCAAGTTAGAAAAGAGATAAAGGGTTTAATCCTGTTTGTGGGTAAACAAATGTGATTCCATGGATTCATGAAATGATCATTTCTAGGTGGTTCGAGACAAACGGACCGGAAAGACCAAAGGCTACGGCTTTGTCAGTTTCAAAGATCCAAACGACTACGTCAGAGCCATGAGAGAGATGAACGGTGAGTCAGGTGACACCACACTAATCCCAGGAGTCCTGGGGACGTGTTCAATCTGAGTGGGTTTTTGTTTTTCTCCAGGGAAGTATGTTGGGAGTCGCCCCATCAAGCTGAGGAAGAGCATGTGGAAGGACCGAAATATTGAAGTGGTTCGCAAGAAACAGAAAGAGAAGAAGAAACTCGGCCTCAGATAATGTTCCGTGTGTGTGTGTGTGTGTGTGTGTGTGTGTGTGCGTGCGTGCGTGCGTGCGTGCGTGCGTGCGTGCGCGTTAGGGATTACTGGCCTTTTGGCAGTCCCATCAGACATGATGCTTGAGGCGTAAGTGTGATCAGAGGTTAGTTTAGGTTTCGTGTGTCATGTTGAGTTAGTTGGGACTTCCTTGTGGGTCAGAAGATTTTGAGAAAGCTAGAAACTGTTTTGACTTATTTTACATCCTGTAATAAACTAAAGGGTTAATGACACCCCTGCCTTTGTTCTTACTTCCACCATCTGCTCTCACTCACTTCTAGATTAGCTCATTGCAAAATGCTTTTACGGATAAATAAATTGGTATGTATTCAAAGCAAAAATCTGGAGTTTGTTGTCAAATCTAGAGGCAGAAAAATATATTGCAGCATAAAGCCCTCTCTCCACTTCCATGATCACAGCTGGAAGCAATGCCTCTGGTTTGTGAACGAGAACCTGTAACAGAGTTAAAACAAATTCTGTTACTATGAATAATCCACATTATGCTGTTTACTCGTGTTTTTAAAAATGTGTCCATGAGAAATTTTGCCATCTTTGCATCTGTCTAGATACTTCTGCACATGCACCCTCTGTGACAGACATCTTTATGACGCTAATGCTGAGCAGCGCTCTACTGGAGTTGCATGGGGCTCTACGGGACAAGAGGCTAAAGCTACATATCACATTCAGTTCTGAGATCATTTTAGTTTTCTTTTAAGACGAAGTTCAAATAAACATGAGGCAAATGTATTAGTTTTAATGAGAAATGATCTAAACATTCATATTTACACTGATACATTTAGCTAAAAGCTACCATGTCAAACTCCACCGCCAAACAAGTCCTCTACAGCTGTTCGTCCACTAAAGATGACGTCATTCACAGAAACTCCATCAAACGAGGAGCCAATCAGAGACAGAGACAGATTCTTCTTCTTTATGAAGCTTCGCATCGACTCTGAAACGGATAAAGAGGTTTCAAGGCCTGTTTTCCTTACACACAATCACAGTACAGACTTTGGATGAAAGAGTCGGTTCCTACCAACTGTCCGAAAGTGTCCAAGGCGATACTGAGGTATGCAGTCCTAGAGAGATGATGTCATTGTTAGAGGACGCTACATGTTTGTGTTTAGGAGTGAGGAGTCCTGCTGTACCTTGTGAAGAGCTACGTGTGTCCAGCCGGGTGCTGAAGTCACTCCCAAATGACAGCTCACCGATTCAGTAGCTCGAGCCAACAGGTGCTCTGTGGTCACCGTCTCCGGGGCTCCAAACTCTTCCTGGAACCAGGCCCCACCCATCATCACCTAGGAGACAGCCAATCAGATCACAACATCACTGTTAATTTATGACTTGGGTTTTCACAATCCGCTGAAGAGAACAACTCACTTCCTCCCGCTGTTCGTTTCAGGTTGAAAGACCCAATGACATCAGAGGATGTATTGTACACTTGATTTATTGTCAAACTACAAAATCAGAACCACAGACAGCAGCAATTGCGTGTTGGTGCTGTCACTCGTGAACATCAAGGGCTCCAATCAACATCCTCAAGGGCCACCATCCAGCATGCTTTAGTTATTTTGTCTGCTGAATCTGGTGTCTATGAGCAGGGAAACAACTAAAATATGCTGGGTGGTAGCCTTCAAGGGCCAGGGTTGGGGACCACTTAAACCAGAAATACTTAAGATTCCCATCCAATGGTTCATTTTCAACTGTTATTTTAAAGCTTGAGAGTGAACCCAATTCTTCAGTTATGTAGCTCAACAGAAAATAGTTTTTTATCTACTTCGTGGTCTGAGTTTGACAGGAAACAGGCCCAAAGATGAAGAACCTCTCAGGTCCTGGTTCAGGTCTGTGATGGTCGTTTCAGATCCCGTACCGTCAGCCTGGTCGTCTGTCCGCTGGGTCTGTTGTGTTCAGGGAAAGGAACAGAATCGTAGACCACCCCCAGCAGGCCTTTATCTTCTGATGAAGGCACAAGGTGGCCAAAACCCTGTCAGTACACAAGAACAGAGACGGTTCCTCCTTTGTGGGGTTTTTAAAAATGAATAAAAACTACAGAATATAAGATGAAACTCAACACAGCTTCAAATGGAAATTAATTGAAATTACATGTTTGATTCTTTATTTTACTGCCTGGAAAATTAGAGAAGTTGTGTAATTAGGACTTACCTTCACTGGCAGGACGGACCCCTCGTACTCTAGATTCACCACAGCAACTGTTACCGAGGAGATGTCCTGTAGCTGCTGGATTAGGGACTGACAGGTGGGGGGGAGGACACAGGAGAGGGCTGACAAGACACAGGAGTGATGACTGAAGATGGCATTTAAAATACTTAATTAGATCATAATTGTATAATGAGGACTGTATAGTGTAAGTTGTGATTGAATGTTGGTCCAGATTGTTTCAGACGAGCTGAACTTCTTCATGTGAGCCTCTGAAGCATCACACCTACCTTTAGCAGGTAGAGCAGAGATTATATGATCAGCTGATATTACTCCATCCTCCAAATGGACCTGAATACAAATATAAACAGTAAATCATACTTTCTAGCCTTGCGTTAGTGTTAGTGGGATCTTTTCTGGGGAACGAGGAGGTTAGACAACGCAGGGAGCAGCTGGAGGTCCAAGTTCCACATTCACTGTTCCACCTGTAACTTTCCTGCCAGAAAAGGGAAGTGAACCAACAACCTTTGGGCACTAAGCTGTGTCCCTAACCCCTCATATGGTTAACCACAGAACCAGCTGCTGCTAACAAGGCAGGATTTTGTATTTCCATCCTGAACTGAAACGTGAAGAAGTTTTTTTTTTTTAAGTTTTTTAGTTCCAGAAGGTCGGTAAGCATTCTATAAATGATCCCAGTGGTCATTCAGCTGTAGAAAGTACCCAGCTGGGAGGTTTGTGACTTTTTTCTGTCCCATTTCTAAGTAAACTGGGCTCTAAGTAGAACTTACATAAATGGCAGCTGTGAAACTTCCTGCGTTCCAGCAGCCGTGCGTGTGTGTGTGTGTGTATGTGTGTGTGAGAGACCTCCAGGTTAATGCTGCTGCTCACCAACCTTCCAACCAGACGCTGATGGCTGAATGTGTTTAACGGCCGCCTCCTTCTGGAGCTGCGCTCTTCCGCTGCGCTGCAGGTAATCACTGAGGGATTCTGGAAGAGCCTCCACTCCCCTCTTCAGAGACCACTGTGCCCATGACTCTTTCATAGACCTCTGAGCTAAAGGTCCAGCTGAGATCTGAGGTGTTGGGCCTGAGGTTAAAGAAAGACTGAGTCACCATCACATAAAAAGCTGCCTGGTTTCACTCTAAGAGTCCTGGGGGTCAGGACTTTGGTCATTTCCAGCTGAAAGCAGATGTGACCCCATACATGACCAGCTTCTCCCAAAGAACAGGTCCTTGTTTTTTGTTTTCATCTATTCTTTTAATCTCCTTTAATAAATTGTGTTCCAGCACAACAAAAAGAGATGAACTGAAGGTGTGTGTACCTGAGCCCAGCAGAAGCCCCAAAGTCAGAGAACCTCTCTTCTGTTCGGCGTTGAAGAGCGGAGGGAAGCAAGAGCGAACACTCAGGTTCCTGCAGTCCCCCGCAAACACACCACGACAAAGACTATCCACTGCTATGTCCGCCAGCTGGCCAGATACAGAAAACAACAAACAGCAATAATTCTTGTCACGATCCTGAATTGATATTTAAAAGTCGTAGTATGTGTAAGTGGCTGGGGAGAGGGAAGTCTGGGCCTCTCGACTTAGGCTACTGACCCCGCGACCCGACCCCGGATAAGCGGATGAAAATGGATGGATGGGTGGAAGTATGTGTATATTTTTATCGAGAATTTATTTGCAAACATTTACTGTATTATTTGCCTGTGGTGACATTCAAACTCCGACTGCTAGGTGGCAGCAGCTTTTACTGCCTTCAATTTGACGGAACAATGAGATCTGGCAATAACCAATTTCCAAAATTACAAATATCGTCTAGATTTTAGTATCGCAATATGTCGTATCGTCTCCTAGTATCGTGATAAACATTGTATCACCAGATTCTTTCCAGTACACACTCCTAGTCAGTGGTGATGAGCTACACTGTAGCCACAGCTTCCCTCGGGCGCACTGACCGAGGCGAGGATGCCGTACACCAGCACCACCTGATCCTCCGACTACCGCATACAGGTAAAGAGGGCGAAGTGTCTTGCCAAAAGACACAAAGACTAACAGAAGGAGCCTGGGATCTAACTGGCAACTCACTGGTTACAGGGTGAACTCCTAATCCCTGAGCCACCATCGCTCGAGTCAGCACTGAAAGTTCGGCTTTGTACATGTAATGGATTACAATTACATTTAATTAAGGACCATAAGACGTTAAAAATCCATATCTAGTATGAACCCCATCTTACGGACACTGGGTTATTTAAATCAGAAGATTGGATCTTTTTATTACAGGGACTTTAAAATAACACTTTGCATTAACTGAGAGACAAGAGAAGAGAGAGAGACTTTCAACGTTTAAGTAAATTTATTACTTAATAATTTTAAACAATTTAACAAGACTAACTCTCTAATGATGGATGTTCTGTTGGAATGAAGTGTGAGGTGAATGGTGTGTGTGAATGATGTTAAATTCAGAACCTTCTCATCCAGAGAAGCAAAGTTTGAGTGGGAGATGATGTTTTGCTCCTAACTGATCAGAGTTTGAGACCCGTAGTCATAAACACATGAGACGCTATTTTACACTAAGGTAAATAATCACATGACACATTGCTGTACTGATCCAATCAGAACCTTCAAGTCTGAAGCGTGGCAGAGTCTCTGTGGTGTTTATTAATTCTGTCAGCTTTGATTCGTCTGGAATAAAAAACATCCAGATTAATAAAACAGTTCCAACGCCATCTTAAGTTCAGTTCTCAAGATCCCATGAAGTTCACCGCATGTTAAGTGAAGTATGGACAGGCCATCTATACTTTTCTTTCTAAGCTGAGAACCATTTAAGCTGGGAAAATTCCGTTGTTACCAACCAAGCAACGGGTCCTTCAGAATAAAAGCTGAACTCGCTGACCCAAGGAGGGTCCCCTTTTGGACGCTGTGAAACACCTGTCGCTTTTTACCTGGAGACTATCCAAAGACTGGTTTGTCGTACTGTCGACGCTGTTTCAACGGCTCCAGTACTGGAAGGAAGGTCCGAAGACCTGGGCATTCTGGATCCATCGTGGAGGTCTCACTGAGGGTATGTGGATGCGACAAAATGGCGTCTCATGTGTTTATGACTACGGGTCTCAAACTCTGATCAGTTAGGAGCAAAACATCATCTCCATACTAGATATGGATTTTTAACGTCTTATGGTCCATAATTAAATGTAATTCTAATCCATTACATACACAACAGACTAATAACGGGGGGTTTAATAAAGAACAGGAATAACAGCAACAGTCCGCAGTAACAAGCTACTAAAAGGTCTCCCCACCTCCTTTCCAAGCCTCCTAGAAACAAAAGAATAGATGGATTCGTCATCTTCTTTTCCTCTCTTCACTAGGATCTCTGAGGCCAGGCTGAACAGGAGGGGGCGGGAAAACGGTGGGACCGTACGGAGAATCCCACTGGAGACACAGGGAGAGGAGATGATACAGGATTGGTATCGACAATCAGGAATAACAAATATATCTGTGTGCTCTCATGCTGTACACACTTTAGAGTGTAGACGTGTGTGTAGATGTGTGATGAAGGTCCAGATGGGATCAAAACACCATCTTTACATTGACTTAAACTAGTTAGGTTTTACAGCCCTGCGCCTGCACTTGTCATGTTTGCATAGCTATCTTTCTTTAATAAGTTAAAGGTGTAGTTCACTCGTGTAATCAATACATTTGCAGTGGTCTCTAGTAGGAATGAATGCCTTCTAAGTCGTAATCAGGGGGAAAAATATATATCGGTGTACAATTTCCGGGAACTAGAAGTGAGCCACATCGCAGCTGAGCTTCAGACGGCAGGTTCTGGAGTCTTATTTCCTGATATTTTTGTACATCTTGTCCCAGATTGGATAACAGCAACGTGACTCTACCACTGGCTTGTAACAATGATGTTTTAACTCCACAAATAACACAAGCCTGGAGTTCTACTGTGTGGTGATGCTGCTAATGCTAACGGTTGGCTTCTACATTCTCTGCTGTTTCCATGACGCTAAACCTTGGTACATAGGAGTTCTTTGTACAAAGCTTAGAGTCAAAACTCAAAAGTATAAAAAACAATCACCATCAAAATATGGATCAAAATCAAACAAGTGTCAGGTGCAAGTTGTAGTGGTGGGCCCTAATGGCTGGTGAGTGTACCTGACGTGAGCCAAACATCCAGCTGTACCTTATTCCTGAAGGCATCCTGTGAAGTTTTCCGTTGACATACAGATATCTGTTCTTGGAGGACACATGACTGTAGGAAACAGGTAAAACCTCTGCACTCAGACCCAGATCCTCCACCTGCACACAGGTTCCACCTGTAACTTCCTCTTACAGTAACAGCAAAAACATCACTTATCTAGTTCAGTAACTAAACTAAATCTTTTTCATTCATGTGGTAAACTTCCTGTCAATGTGTATTGTTCATATTATCTTACAGGTCTAACAGCGTCTTTTCATGCTGCTGTTTCTATCAATTCAATTACTTTTTCATTTCCATTCACATTGTTTATTCCATTAACCTTTAATTTAAAAAAAAATGTTTATTCTACTTCTAACATATCTGATGAGGTCAGTCACGAAAGTGTGACGTCAAAACACAATGCTCATACACACACACGCACACGCGCGCACACACACACGTCAAACCGACCATGTTGAGAGTGTTGCGTCCCACTGCTCCAGCGGGACGGACCCCTCTGGGTCCAAGTTCAAACAAGGTCCCATCGAGCCTCCTTAAAGTCCTCAGCCAACCTCCAAAACGATCACTGGACTCCAGAACAATCACCTGTTTGGACGGTTTGAGTCATTACACATATCCTGTTGATTCTTCTTCAGTCATAATTACAAAAGAAGAATTAGAAGAACAACAGCATTTCAACGATCTTCTGAGCCACAACATGGACCCACAGTCCAGAAGGATCAAACATGAGAACACCTGAACGCATTTTTGAACGAAGTTTGTGTGAAAAACAAGGAACATTCTTGTTTAATGACATCAGTCCCTGTATGGAAGACATCATGAACCCATTTGTCCTGAGATATTTCTGGACACACGCTGAAATATTTGGTTCCAAAAGATCTGAACAAGGATTTGGGCATCAGACCTTTCTAGCCTCACTAGAGGTGAGCAATAAACCCAGAACTAATGTCTGGGGACTCATCTACTGTCTGGAACTGTATCTCAACTGGATTTAGATCAGGGGACCACACAGGATGGTCCAAAAGAATGATGTTCTTCTCCTGGAGGAAGTCCCGTGTGTCCTGTAGCCTTGTACTGTTGAAAAACCCAGTGGTACCACACAGACGAGGCCCTCAGTCATGAAGAATGCTGGCTGTGTGATGCTCCTGCACCTCTTCAAGCTCCATTGCTCCACTGTAGGAGAAAGCACTCCACACCATCATGGCCCCCCTCCACTGTGATGCACAGAAAACTGCTCAGGTGGGTTCTTCTAGTCATGCAGGTAACGTTGGAAACCACCAGGACCATCAAGGTTAAATTTCTTCTCAGAGAATAAAACGTCCATCCGTGTTTCAGTGTCCTGTGTTTGGAGCTCTCTTGCAAAGTCCTAATGGTCAGTACTGCAGCGTTCAAGGAGACAATGTCTTTGAAGAAGTTTCTGTTTCTTTGAAGCCGTTCAGCTTCAGGTTTCGTCTGACGTTTGGGGCTGCAGTCAGCACCAGTAACAGCTTCCAGTTAGGTGAAGCATCCTCCAATTTCTTGGCGGACAACCAATCAGATCTTCAGGCTCACTGCTGGACTGGTGAAATATATTTGGGGTCAGCGCTGGACTGACCATAGGGCATAGCGGGCAACTGCCCGCTGGGCCGACCCTTTCATCTTTTATGGGCCGGTGTCTTTTTTTTTTTCTTTTTCCTGGCCTCTAGTTGTTGCGGACAACTTGCCCGCGCCGCCCCACGCGACGCCTCGTAAAAGTTGGTGGATTGGCCAATTGGTAATAATACACTCTGGGCTGGACCAATAGCCAGAGGTCTGATGCACCCGCCAGTTGTTTGTGAATCTCAGTAAACAGACAGACGAGCTTTACAAAATGGAGAACAAAAAACGGAAAGGAGGAGCGGAGAAAATTCGACTAAAAAAGAAACTGGCCCTTCAGGCTGATGCTGGCACATGTGTTAAAATCTCACAGTTGTTTGGTAGTGAAGGTTCAAGTAAAATCAATTTAGGAAGTGATGGAGCCTCAGCCCAGCGACAGGTTGGTCCACTTTAAGATGTTGTTCCAGAACTCTCAGGATCATTTAAGAAAATCCAAATGACTGATGCAGTTCAACAACCCAACCACGTTTAAAAAGGGAACATTTTGCCTTTGCCATCAGAACGTCATGACAGACTAACTGACAGAAATTACAATGAATCCACAGATTCGGCCTTTTAAAGACATGCAGTCTTTAACTTTTGATCTTGACTGTTTTAACTATAAGATTTTGTAGTGATACACATACAGAACATTCAGAGTCCACCAGCAGTGTTGGGAGTAACGCAGTACAAAAGTAATTAATTACTGTAATGCATTGCTTTTTGCTGTAATGTGGTAATGTAAGGCATTACAGGGAAAGAAAATGGTAATATTTACTCGGTACAATTGTCAGTAACGCGGCAATTACAATGCATTTTTAAACCCAGAATCAAGATGTGTTTCTGAAAAATTCAAATTGCGGGAAACCCCAAAAAAGTTCCAGTATCTGCATATATTACGTCATTTATGGACTCAGCTTTGCAGGCAGAGAGGACGCAGCAGTAACGGCTCAAATACTCCAGCTGCATCCTCCACGCGGCCGCTGTAACAGTCACAAAATCGCTCCACTAAAACAAAATAATTCACCTGCGATCGTTCATGTCAGTGCATGTTCTCTGGTATTCTGTACTTTTCTGACGTGCTTTGCCTCAGCTGAGTTAATCTGGGCTCCGGTGATTTCAACTCATTGCTGCTGGAACGCCGCGCATGTGAAGATCCCTTTGGCTGATTAGTTAGAAAGTAGGAAATCTAGGAAACAGTTTTTTCTGGAAGACGGAGAGAACATGCAGCATGCAGGACGGTTAGAGAGAGAAAGGGCAGGAAATTATTCAAATAAAATCAAGAAAACAAAACAAAGTGCTTGAAAAGAAAAAATGTAGGTAGATTTATCCCCAATACACATTTTTACCAGTGAAAAGCAATAATATACATAAGCATTTAATATTTATACATGTGATAGAATCAGATCACCCCAGAAGTCAGTCCCACATCCAGGGCCGTATCAAGGCATTTGGGGACCAAGGTAAATATAGGCTTGGAGCCCCCACCACCTCACTCGCCGCTCAGTTAGTCTAAGATGGCAGCGTGTTGAGAGTACAGTTTGTTGTTGCATTTATTACATAAACAATCCTTCTAAAGAACTGTTTTTAACAGGAATCCTAGCTCAGACACCACATCACCTTCCACCGGATGTGTCATGAGTTCACCAGGCATCAGATTACCAAACTCATACTGAAGTTGTTTTGTTGAAAGTAACTTAGAGTAATGCAAAAGTAGTGTAATGCCTTACATTTTAAAATCAGTAATATTGTAATGAATTACTTTAAAATGAGGGTAACAAGTAATAAATAATGCATTACAGTTTTGAAGTAACTTGCCCAACACTGTCCACCAGCTGCTGAAAATGAACAGCAGAAGATGGTGGACCAGAGGGATGGGCACCTCCATCAGGTCAGAAATCATCTATGATCATTCAAATAAAGGTCCTATGTACACAGTATATGGTACACAGTCTGGCTCCTTTCAAGGAGTTCAACCAGTGATTGTCGAGTCCTTCAGAATAACAAAAGATGTAAATAATGACTTAAAATATTTTAGTCAAACTAAAACTGGAGTGTGTGTGTGTGTTACCTTGGCAACCTGAGGGCTCTTGCACAGGTAGTAGGCTGCAGCCAAACCACTGATCCCACCCCCAAGGACAGCAACTGTTTTCATTGGCTGAGAGCAAACACAGTAAGATCCAACAAACATTTTGCACAAACAAACAAACCATAAAAAAATGTTAATTAATATAAATAATAATAATAAATATAAAAAATCTCTATTGCAAGAGTACATGGATGTAACCAAGTCTTAAGTAGACAGTGAAGATATATTATCATATTGCTGGGTGATGTGACGGTTGGAGAAGCAATTGTAAAGGGAAAGGGGAAATTTTATTACTACTATTTGCCTGTCTCCAGCGGTCAATGGGCAGTCAGGTGGGGTACACCCTGGACAGAGAGCCAGTCCATCACAGTTTATTACTTAACTTTAATCATTATTTTTTAATTATGTTATATATATATAGTTTTTTTTTATTTAGCACATTAGGTCACTGTATTATGTTTTATGTGTCAGAGGGGGGTAGGATTTAATAAGCATCAGCTTCCTCCTACTCCTTTTCGAACAGAGTGTGACAATTACATGTTTTGTGCAATTATCGGTGCGATTTTTATTTTTAATGTCTACAATGACTTTATTATTATTACAACTTTTATATTTGAAATAAAGATTTCATTCCTTCATTCATTAAATTCCTCATTTTAGAGATATTTAGGTTATTTTAGTAAATTTGGACATGGGCATAATTCTTCAAAATAACTTAAAATGTGACATTACTTGTGTCAGACAGGAGTTGGATGTAAAATACAGGAAACAATGGAAGACGGATATTTGGAATATACCAAAACTTAGAAATTATGTACAATTTAAAAGGGATTATAATACAGAATTATATCTCAAATGTAAATTAACAAGAAGACAAAGATCTCTGTGCTCAAATAAGAACGGGCACCCTCCCTTTGGCAGTGGAAGTGGGACGATTTAAAGGAACACCTTGGTATTCTCATCTATGAGAGTTTTGTGATTCCAATGTGGTTGAGAATGAATTCCATTTTATCTTTCATTGTTCCTTGTATTGTGATTTGAGAGAGTCCTTATTTGAATTTATCCAGTCGAATAATCCTGATTTATTTTGGAGGCAGGAAGCTGAAATTATGTATTGGTTGTTTGAAAATAATATTTTTGTTTTAGCTAAATTTGTGGAAAAGGCTTGGTATAGACGCCAAAGTATTCTATACCCCATATGAGAAATATGTGGTCATAGTTATGTTTGTTTAGCAATGTTGTGTATTACTCTGTATCACGCAGCCATGTTATGATTTATTGAATGTTGTAGTGTCCAATAAGCCCGTGTGGGCTGGGCACCCTTTGTGGTGCATGACACTTAAATAAATTAAATCAATCAAAAAAATCCTCATTCACACGCTTCTCTACAGAGTAGTGGCAACTCTGACCCTGACGTGAGCAGATTATAAAGACATGGAAACTGGCACACACACACACACACACACACACACACACACACACACACACACACACACACACACACACACACACACACACACACACACACACACACACACACACACACACACACACACACACACACACACACACACACACACACACACACACACACACACACACACACACACGTGCACACGCCATTTTAGAAATCGGATGGCATCAAAATCCATTGAGATTTCTCCAGGAATAATACATTAACAAAATTAAATGATACAGTTTTTTACAGACAGGTAAACTGAATGTGTTACCATGGAGACCAAGTGGAGCTCAGCCAGAACCTCCTGATTGGTCTTTAATCTGACTCAGCTGTGCAACTCTGCAGGGTGTGTCCCTTCCACCAGACCTGCTGATAGAGAACGGTTTGTTTTATCTGGGTCTCTTTCTAACGGTCAGCCAGTCTGACCCAAACTCTGCAGGTGGTTCTGGTTCTCTACCAGCGGACTTTACTGATGATGGCGACTGGCTGCTGAGGGTGAAGTAGGGATCTCTATAATGTGCGTTTGCCATTGAGCTGTCCAATAGACCAGTGGAAAAAATAAATATAATCATAAATAAAAAGTTAACATTAAAACACCCCACCCTCTCACACATCCAGAAGATATCTCCTCACACAGACCTTTGATCCCTGATCCAGGTTGGTACCAATGTGACAGCTGCTCAGCCAGGGTCCAGAGACCAGAACCTGGTCTGTTTTAAGAACCTATGTGACTCTCCTCAGGGTACAGAAAACCACACGCGCGCGCTAACGATATTGGCCCTAACTGTGTATAATGAGATAATGAAACACTTGCAAAATCTTATCTCTGCTCTGTTGCTCATGTCTGGTGCGGGTTGTGAACTGGTTACCAGGTTACTAGCCCTTAAAGGCAGAAGATCAGAGCAGAACTGTGTAAAACTGGGTCAGAACAAACAATTTCACTTTACTTTTTACTTGTTTTTATACCTAAACACTGAAGCAACACACACACACACACACACACACACAACTTTGTGAGAACTGACTTCATACGCACTCGCACACACAGCGTCGTTATGTTCACCTCAGGCATTTACACCAACTAACAAGGACGTGTTACCTTTCTGTGGCAAAGGCGATGAGCGACAAAACACTAGTTCGGTTTGGTCTGAGTTGACAGCGCTAATGTGGATACATCTGTTCTGCGCATGTGCAGAGTTCATTGCTTCTTCCTGCTCACGCCGTTCACAATAAAAGCACGACAATTAAAAATTAAAATGATCAATTTAAAATTACTGAAAAGTCACAAAACAGATTGTACAAGATCTCATTAGGTGGTAAGACTTTACAATAAGAGTCCCATTATTAACGTTACTTAGTGTATTACTAAGCAATAATAAACTAAAAAGTATTGTATAAGTTTCAGTGGGAGCACGGGCAGAATATCTTGCCCTCCAGTCAGAACCCAAAAACACCAGTAGGCAACGACTTATAAAAAGACATCCTTTATTAACATAATCAACAATAAAACACTATGGCCAAGTTCCTTCACGATAAAACCAGCTGTCCAGCATAGATACAAACAAGCAGCGGTACTTAGCTGTCCCAGTTGATGTGACCCCCTCCCCGGGGTCTGAGCTCCCGACACTGTCCAACGCTCCAGGGTGCAGCTTGCGAGGACGGCGGGTAAATCCACAACGTAAGTCCGACTGCTAGAGTCTGTGGCAGCAGATGTCGGCGTGGTCTTGGCACCCAACTTCTCCCAGCCCTCGCTACCTAAAGAAGGTGTCAAGCCTTCCCTCCTAGCGCTGGAACACTGCCCACCTGCTCAACTATCTTCGTCGCCGGCAACCCTAAATGACTGCGAACGACCCCACCCCCCAGAATCCGGTGCCACAATGACATGTCGACCACACACACCAACTCGGTAGTTCTGTCACCCTTTTGTCCTCTCCGGCCTCATTACCCATAACAAGGACCAGCCGGTGTCCAATCACCACGCCCTCAGAATCCGGCAACTCCCGTCTTCTGTCCTTCACAGTATTAACAACTGCTAATGTTAGTATTAAGTGATGCTTAAGCAGCCCTGCTGCGTCCTAACCTAACCTCTAGGACACTTAAAAGTTTAAGACATCAGGAACAGAACTAAAGGGAATCTTTGTTTATTAATGCTTAATAATGCATTAAATAATGTTAATAAAGGGATATTTATACAGTGTTATCAATTAGTTTAGTCAGAATAACAAAGTATACTCCTGCGCCTACTCCAGCAGCAGCTCAGGAGGAAAAGCGGGTTGTCTAATAATCGGAAGGTTGTACGATTGATCCTTTCTCTGACCAGAGAATGCTGCTGTTGTGTCCTTAGGCAAGACACTTAACCCACTTTGCCTTGGGCGGGGGTGCCTGCTCATCATCACCCCCAGCAGAAAGGGGCGAACTCTGGGAACCGGTGATGGTTGTACCCATTGTGCAGCAGTACCGGGACCAGAGTGAATAGGGTGTGTATGGGGAGCGTGAGTGGGTGTCTAGCGTTCATTTTTGTAAGTCTTAGGTTGTATGTGTATGTGGGAGCATGAGAGAGAGAGTGTGTGACTGTGTCTGTGTATGGCTGTAACGCATGTGGATCGTTAAGACGTGCCCCGTTGACTAATGACAGTTTTGCAGCGTAGCAAGTTTTATTGTTAGAGGGCAAACTGTTAAAATACACCAACAACATCGCTAGCCAAATAAACGCAACCACAACAAAGAAACCAGACGAAGCCGGGTCTTGTTTCTGCTAGCAAGCTGCGCGCACATCTGCTTTGTTTACAAACAAATAAGGGATCTATATGTCAGTTGGGGTCTTGGATTCCTCCCCTCTCCTCAGACTTCTTGTGCTACTATACATGTTCGCCTATATTCCCCCTGTCACATTTGGTATGGAGTGTTGCGCCTTGGTCTGCCTGAGTGTTTGTGGCTCCCGGGTCAGGGGGTTTAAGATTTTTGGAGTCTGCCTGAACGATCCCGGTGGCTGCCTGGTGGGATCTGAGTCCCTGGGCTCTGTTGGGTCCCCCGCAGGGCTGGTCGCCCCTGGGTCCCGGGTCGCTGGGTTCCGGGCTCAGCCGGCTTGGGGGTGGGAGGCTGCGGGGCGGGCCTGTGGGCTTGCCGCTGATATCTCCCGCGACTCTGCCCGCTGCTGGTTGTGACCCTCCGGGGCAATCCTCTGCACCTCTCGAGAGGGGGCTGGGGCTTTTCTGGTAACAGTCTACCTGGGGTCCCTGCGCTCTGGGACAGCCCCTGGATCTCTGGGACTTGGAGCTCCTTCCATCTCCTACACATCTTTGGGGGGCAGATCTGGGGCCCCTCACACTCTCTATTGGACACTCCTATAGAGAAACCTTACATATACAAGCATGTGTACACACACAGGTGCTCACATGGTGCTCTCTTAAGTATGGACTTGGGCATTTTCAACAGGTCTTAAGGCTGTGGTTGGCACTAAATGCACAGTGATTTATTATTGTGTGATTGTTGCATAAAACAATGTTGATTTTATATTTTCTCATCAGGTTGACACAGTGATAGCTTGCTCTAGTTGTATTGTTGTGTGTCCCCCCCCTTTTTTTTGTTTGTTTTTCTCTTTCTGCAGGTCTAGAAGCAGACCCCCCCCCCCCCTCTCCTTCCTTTTGTCTCTTCCTTTCTCTTTCACCTCTGTCTCAGTGTCTGGTCAAAATTATAAAGCATTCAAAAAACAATAACAATAAAGTTTTAAGTATCAGGCGTGACATTAAAGCAGAAGATTTGATGCTCCACCTGAGAGTAAATCTGTAAGGCTTGTCACCAGCATTCAGACATGGATTCTGTTTGCTTCACAGCCGGACAGGGCACGGGGACAAAATAAATAAAAAATCATAAAAAAACACTTTGCCTGCTGGTGGTGGTCGGAAGGACTGGTGGCACCAGTGTTCGGCAGGCCTCACTTCTGTTAGTGCGCCCCAGGGCAGTTCCTTTAGCATGTTAATGTGTGTGTGTGAATGGGTATATTGTGTTGTGAAGCGCCTTAGGGGGTTGTCGAACCCAAGAAGGTGCTATACAAATACAAATTGCCATGTTACAAAACATAACATCGGTTTTCAGTGTCAGAGCATTTATGAAGTGGTCTTTTTCTACAGTCACTGGTTGAACCACATCTGGCAGGGTGGGTGTGATTTAAGTGCCCATCAAGTTGATTTAAAAAAATGATAATATATTTTCATTTGTCAAAGTACATGATGCTTTAGCCTGTGATGGACTAGGAACCTCAACAAGGTGTACCCCTCCTGCTTGCCCAAAAACTGCTGGAGATAGAGCACCAGTCTCCCCGCAGTCCTGCATGGATAAAGAAAATGGATGGACGGAAGATATTTTAGCTACCCACTGTTTGTAAATGTTTTGTGCTATTTCCACAAAAAAAATTAATTCAATTCCCATCTAACCCCAAGTTCAGGTCCTCTACTAGAGGCCTGGGAGCTTGAGGGTTCTGCACGGGATCTTATACGGGACTATATATATATATATATATATATATATATATATAAACATTTCTATTAATCAGTTTTTCAGTGCAGCTCTAATTATTGTTCATGGAGAACCATTTGCTCGTTGATAGGAAACACTTTCTTACAGTTTTATTAATCCAGAAAAGAAAGAAAAATGTAGGCACTTCTATGATCATCACCATATCTCATTAGCATTTTAAGTATCACTAGCTCTTAGCTTTGAACAGCACCCTCAGGAAGGTCAAAGAAGCAGTTCTTCAGCTCAGCCAAATAAAATCGAGCAAATTCACCTTCAATCTGGGGATGTGGGCCAAATTTTTTTTTAAATCAAGGACGATGCTTCTAATCTAACACAACAATTTTTTTTTCATGTTTTGCAGTTTTTGTTTATCTGAAGAGTGCTCATATAAGGTAGCTATTGAATGATGATCATTAATATTGTCACTTTATGATCAACAACAAGCAACAAGATTAGAAACACCACCATCACCACTGTACAGCAAGGCGAACTTGTGAAATGTTTTAAAAACTTAAAAAGGATTTATATGTTTTAAATACGTCGCTGATGGAACTTGCATGTGAGTCCCAAGAGTTTTCTGCTCAAAAAACCCATATTGTATGTTTAAACATGCGCGCGCGTGTACACACACACACACACACACACACACACACACACACACACACACACACACACGACAGGATGCTCTGCCAGCTTCGCCCACAGATGACTGGTCCATCACCTAAATGTTTCTCAGCAAGAACAGAACAAACTCTAAACAGAACATGTAAAACAACTCCTTATACGAATAAAATGCTTATAAATTGTGACTTCATTGTTACTCTTTGTGAACCTTACCCCAACACAAATGCTACAGCTTATTCACAGTTAAAGGTTTGGTTCATTTGTTTAATCAATACAGTTGCAGTGATCTCCAGGAATAAAGGCCTTGTAAGTCATACTTTGGAGAAAAAAGCTTTGATGCACCAGTTTCAGCAACCAAAAGTGAGCCATATCAGAGCTGAGTTTCAGACGACAGTATTTGGAGTTTCATTTCCTGATATTTGGACATCTCGCCTCGAACTGGCTAACAGCAACACGCCTCTACCACTGACTCTGTTTGCTTTGCAACATGGATGTTTTATCTCCACAAATAACACAAGCCTGGAAGTGTTTTGCTGTGTGGTGGAGTTGCTAATGCTAATGGTTAGTTTCTACTGGCTGAGACATTCTCTGCTGTTTCCTGGAAAAAAAACAACAACCTTCTGTGGCAGTGTGAACGTCCTGTCACTTTATCCCGATTGATCATGCGCCCTGGCTACTTTGTAATGGGGATGTCCCTTTGGCTGACTGGTTAGCACGCATGACTCTCACCCGGGAGTCTGGGGATCGAATCCCGCCTGGGCCCTCATTTCTCCACCTTGCCACACTTCTCTGTCTTGAGTCAAGATGACATGAGTCCATGAATGTTAAGTGATGGTGAGATGTCGATCTGTCAGACTTTTCAAATCCTAGAGTTTCACCGTCTATTTTTTATCAGAAGCTAAAGCAGGAGATAGGTGTAGGAGGCTATTTTCATGTTCAGCCTGCATGAAAAACTCAGAGTGATTATAACCAGAAATAATAATTAAATGGTTTATCAGGGGCTGCGCAGTGACGCAGTGGTTAGAGCTGTTGCCTTGCAGCAAGAAGGTCCTGGGTTCGCTACCCGGCCTGGGATCCTTCTGCATGGAGTTTGCATGTTCTCCCTGTGCATGCGTGGGTTCTCTCCGGGTCCTCTGGCTTCCTCCCACAGTCCAAAAACATGATTGTTAGGTTAATTGGTCTGTCTAAATTGTCCTTAGGTGTGAGTGTGTGTGCGTGCATCATTATTTGTCCTGTGTGTCTCTGTGTTGCCCTGCGATAGACTGGCTCTCTGTCCAGGGTGTACCCCGCCGCTGGAGATAGGCACCAGCCCCCCCTGCGACCCCACGTGGACAAGCGGGTTCCAAAAATGGATGGATGGTTGTATGGTTTATCAGTGAACCACACCTTTAAACAAAACTGTACCAAATTTCTCTGACACCAACAGACAATTAGCTAATTTTCAGTCACTTTACCAGCTGTGATGTTATAGGTCAGCTCTGAAAGTAACACATGAAGTGAGACAAAAATGATCAATTTAGCTTCTCTGCAACACAGCTGGCAACCACTTTTGCTGTCTTTTTTCCTAATATCTGCTTCATCTAAAAAATGATAAGTTTGGAAGTTTCTTGAGGATAGAAGTGTAACAGAGTGTGACATGTGTGTTGTGTGTGTGCATTGTATAAAGTGATGTGTGAGGTTCTTTGTCTCGAAACATGTAGTACACTAGGCATTGTTAGCATGAATAGGGTTCTGTGGCAGTATAAAGGATTAGCATGAGAATGGAGTGTGAGTGCTAAAAGGCCACTGTTTGAATTTTGTTATGCTGCAACTCACAGGCTGCCACTCCTCTCTGTGCTGCTTACAGCTCCATCTTTGTTGATGCTGGCCCGTCTTGACAGCTCATTAATGTTGTCCCGTCCATTTCCCGAAGAAGAAACTGAAGAAAACATGGAGAACAACCACACCTTTCTGTATTTTGCCTATGGTAGTAACCTTCTGAAGGAACGCCTTCACCTGAAGAACCCTTCAGCAACAGTGAACTGTGTGGCAAGGCTCAAGGTCTGACCAGAGGAGCATCACTACTCAGGTGTACATACAGCAACTTAAACAATATTTTGTTTTGCTCTGTTTTTTAGGACTATAAATTAGTTTTTGGGAACTACAAAGGACTCGCCAGTGACCGGTGGCATGGCGGTGTGGCCACTATAGAGCACAGCCCAGGAGATGAGGTGTGGGGTGTGGTGTGGAGACTGAACATAACTGATCTAGAGTCACTTGACAGGTAAACAGTTCGTTTATGACTGTTAGGGCTGGGCAATAAATAGAAAATTTATCGTTATCGAACTTTCTGACTCTTATTGAGATAATTTTTCCCAAGACAATAAATTTGATACTAAAAAAATTAAAAGATGTTTGTAGGTTGGCAACTTTCATGGCCCTTGTACCACCTTGAGTCACGTAAAAATGTGACTCAACGTAATACATGTGACAGCCCCATCGAGTGGACAACTTTTGTTTCTGCACGTTCCAGTAATTATCGCCCATTTATCGTTATTGAGGTGGAATCCTTAATATATCATGATATTGATTTTAGGCCATATTGCCCAGCCCTACTGACTGTTTTCCTGTGAATCCTACAAATGCAAGTGTGTGTGTCTGTGTGTGCACATCCAAGCCAAGAGAATGTCACATTGGGTGCCTACAGTCCTGTGGAACTATCAGTGAAAACAAGAAGTCAGGAGATCAACTGTCGCACGTACATCATGAACAGCTATGTGTACGCTCCACCTTCTCCTCAGTATCTTCAGGTATGGACTTTCAAAGTTTTTCACACAACTTTTAAACCCCATTACAGCTACAGCACTTAGGGTTTGAGATGTTACTGGAGCTAGTTATATTCTTGAAACATTTAGCCTTAGCTTCAGGCCCTGTCTGTACTCTAGACGGGTTTTAAAGGGGTAGTTGACTAAAACACGTGTAATTATTATTTCTGATTATAATCGGTCACTGGCATTTTCATGCAGGCTTAACATGAAAACACACCTGTCTCCTGCATTTGCTTCTGATAGGAAATATGGTGAAAGACTAGGATTTGAAAAGCCTGACAGATCTACGTCACATTGTTACGCAACATTCATGGACTCGCCCATCTTGGCTCGCGACGGGGAAAGCTGTTGGTTTCACAAGAAACACAAGAGAACGTCTTGACTAGTAGAAGTTAACCATTAGCATTAGCAACTTCACCACATGGCAGAACTCTTTACTTGTGTTTTTGTGGTGATAAAACATCAATGTTGCAGAGCAAACAAAGGGTAGAGTTGTGTTGCTGTTAGCCAATCTTGAGTTGTCCAAATATCAGGAAATAAGACTCCAAAAGGTGCCGTCTGAAGCTCAGCCTTGATATGAGTCAGAAAACTGGAGCACCGATATATTTTTTCTCCCCATGAGAACAACTTACAAGTTATTCATTTATACTAGAGACTGCAAATGTATTGATTAAACAAGTCAGTCACTAATATTCTTTTCTCTGTTTATGCAAACATCAATAACAGATACACTTAAACACCCCAACTGCACCACTAGATGGTTAGAGCTCACATACTATACATGTGAAAGTATACATATGAATAGCTAATCTCACCTGTATATAATTATATTGCTCCAGCGTTCACGTAATCTGTGGGTGTTGAAACGCTAGGTTTTTACTTGCATCTATTTAAACTCTCGACTTGTGCTCCAGCTCCTTCCTTTCTCACTCAGTTTGATGTCTTTCAGCTGTGCAGCACCTGCTCTCAGTCCAAATATGCAGTTTTGTGACGTAATTCCAAAAATTAATCACATCCAGGAAAGACTTTCTCAGAGGGTAATTTAAATTCTTATGGCAGTTCATGAGTTTTTCTATAGCGTAGAATCTAGACCATCGGTTGCCAAAGCAAAATATTTTTGCCCTGCATGTTGGTCTAGCCACGCCCCATCGGAACCTCTGCAGCCCAGGACAGTCTGGTGCCGGTCCAATCACAGCGCTCTTATGGTTTTGTGAGCAGGAGTTTAGTGCGACTGAGTGAAACTAAGATAGCGACAGCTCATTTGAAATGGCTTTGGCATCAACTTTGGACTATTTAGATTTGGGCTTTTCTTTGAGTCAAGAGGAGATTGAGGTGCTTTATTTAGAAAAAGGATATATTTGCACTTTCTTCAACAGTGTATGGTGGACTGCCCCATTGACTGACATCTGTAGCGATGAGTACGTCACGTTGTTCATTGTCCAATATCATGCAGAGACAGTTTGAAAGAAAACCGTAGATTCCATCCCATGACTGAGAGCTATCAATGGGTCGTGGCCAGACTATATATTCAAATATATCTGATGGTTCGCCAGGCTTGAGTTTCTCTGCTGTAAAAGTGAAAATCACATTTTGTCCGTCTTTTAATAATGATAAAGTTTAAGTAAAATATACTTAGTGAATCAGGGCTAATGTTTTTTCTATCGCTTTGGCCCTTTAAACTTTGTCTTTGTGAAATGTCAAGAAAAGAGGCTAGTCTGTACACACACTTGTCACCTGATGAACAACTACCAACAGTCAGGACACCGTCATGCTGCAGGTCACACAGCTGAGAGCTTGTTGGCCACAATACCAGATTGTTCTGACTTTGTGACCACACCTCTGTGTTTTGTAGTACATTGTGCCCTCTGTAACTACACATTAGTTAATGTCTCTTTGATTTGATGTTTTATTTACCACCATCTTTATCTATTAGAGTTTACATGAATGGTTAATTTCAAACATAGCAGGGTCTACTAGTTCAGTGATGCTTTTCTTTTACAAGCTGTAAAGAACATTGTTGACATAAATCACCATAATTATGTTATACAATTGACGGGTTTGTATTCCATAAAAGAAAATAAGTCCACCTTTACCTTTAAGAAAATAACACCATTAGTAGCATTGTTTTATTGTTTATGTTGTGGAAAAATAATTAAAGGTCAGTCAAGTTGGTGAAGGAGAGAATCAAGATCTTTTAGCGATGTATTTTTGACCGTAAGAGTTCACGGATGGTTTCTGTCAAAGGAGAGATGGGAATAAGGACACACCTCGCTGGTGTAGGACTGCAGCCTCAGCCTCAAGCAGACAAGTTTAATGTTCATGACTGAGGGGGTTTGTGTCTCTGTTGGTCCATCACGAAATGAATGGGAGGGTAGGAGCAGAGAAGGGTTTAATGTTCTCTCTTAGGGTAGATGCTCTGGGCATGTTGAGGTGGGGGAGTTGGGAAGTGAATTTATAACATAGAGAATAATTTTCTGACTGAGTGTCTGGAAGATGGTAGAGGTGTTAGGCCCTTCCAACATTTACTGCTTATTGTTGATAATAATGCAACATCTTTGAAAGAAAACAGCAAAAAGAAGACTTCTTTCAAAACAAACCAGCTGTTTTTATCAACGACTGCAGGTGATTGTGATGGGCGCTGAGCAGAATGGACTGCCGAAGGACTACCAGGACAAACTTCGCTCAATCAAGACCAACATGTATAAAGGTCTGCTGCCAATGATGGCTGAACTGGAACAAGCAAGAAGATGGGCCAGAGAGAAAGTCAACCACCATTCTGATGCCTAGAAACCCAACAATAAGTTTATTTTACCCCACGAGTCTTCATAACGAGTCAAGGATTGCAGCTGGATGGTTTCATGGCTGTTTAACTTTTAATCAGGCTGTATTTGTGAAAGTCAGTCACTGACAAAACATTAATATATTTGAAGTTTCAACTTCTATTGTTATTCTGTTATCAACAGCTGTTGTGTCTGGTCATGTATGTTGTATTAGTTTGTTACTAGAACCAGTTATTATTGGCTCTACCAAAAAACAAATCCAATCAAAACAAAAACAAAGTACAAACATTTGTTTTTTTTATTATTTTTATTTATTTTATCAAAATACACAGAATAATTCAACAGAAATCATATTTTGTCTACAGATTCTAAACAGAAAATAAAGGGAAGCTTTTGTACTGGTGGCAAAATAAAAAATCCAACATTAAAAAAGTAAATGATCTTTATATAGCGCCTCTCAAGATAAAAATCACGAGGCGCTTCACAAAAACAAGAAATTCAAAATTCAAATAAAATTAGAAGAAAAAAATAAAGAATTGTGGTTAAAAAATGTAAGGCAAGGGAAAGAGAAAATGAATTGGGAAGAGGGAGATCAGTGGATCCTGGGAAAGACGGAATTGGTAGAAAGAGCAGAACAAGGAGAGGGTGGTGATGAAGGTCACACCAAAGCCAGCTAGAACAAGTGAGCTTTCAGCTGCTTTTTAAAGGAGACCACGGAGTCCACTGATCTCAGGCTCAGCGGGAGAGGGTTCCAGAGTCTGGGGCTACAGCAGCAAATGATCTGTCACCTTTGGTCTTTAGACTGGTGCACTGCACAACCATTAGGCTTTGGTCACTCAGGGACCTACTGGGGGTGTAGGGACTGAGAAGATCACCAATGTATGATGGTGCTTGTCCATAAAAGGCCCTAAAGACCAGAACCAGGATCTTGAAATTAACCCTGAAGTTGACTGGCAGCCAATGAAGCTGGAGGAGAAACGGGGTGATGTGGGTGTGTTTGGAGGACTTGGTCAGAAGCCGAGCACAGGCATTCTGAACCACCTTTGCATAGACAAATGAAAAGCGAGTTGCAGTAGTCTAAGTGTGAGGAGATGAAGGTGTGGATAACAATCTCAAGTTCAGAGCGGGACAGAATGGGAATCAGCTTAGCAAAGTTCCTGAGATGGAAGAAGGAAGAGCGAACAAGAGAACTGATATGAGGATCCAGGGTGAGGGCTGGGTCGAAGTTGACAGAGGGTTTGGTGTGAGAATTAACGTGACCAAGAGGACCTCTGACTTTGGGAACCAGCTTGTAGCGGAGGCAAATCAATGATTTTTATTTGTTATGACAAGGAAGATGAAATATTCTATATGATCCAGTTTTAAGGTTTAGATGTTATGATTTGCACAGCCAATCAAAGGCTGACAGCTTGGGAGATGTTGCCTAGACAACTCAGAAGCACACCATCTTTGATACCGAATGTTTTGACTGGTTAAAAGGGCAAGCTATGTGTTGGAGTTTAACTTAACCTTACTTGTTATTGTCATTGACATAATATACGGTTTTTGTGTGAGTGCAGGTGTGAGGACCTCGTCGTCAAAACACGTTGAACACATGGCAGGTTCTAGTTGACAAACATAACATCCATTCAGTGAGCACAGATTAATGAAGCATTTCATTATACTATAATTATTATAAGTAGTAATAAACAAATGTTTATTTAATGATTATCTAGATTATAAGTCATGGAAGAAGTTCAAATTGATTTAGGAAATCATTCTTGAATTTAGCAACTGATTCGAGCTGGAGTTGTTCTTCTGTGGAGGCAGACAGATGGGACCTTGGGAAAGAAAGTTATTGTTTATCTTTCAGACTTGCAGAGTCTGTGAGCTGGTATGAAGGCTGGCTCATTTAAAGGGAACACATGCAGTGTTGTGTCTCCTTTCTGACCAGATGTTGAATAGATGTTGAAAGGTCAGACTGTACCTCAACTGACCATTGCTGGACGTTACACAGCTTGTCTGGGGCACACATGAGGATCTCAGTCTTATCTTCATTCAGCTGTAGAAAGTTCCCAGCCATCCAGGTTTTAATAGAGTCTAAGCAGGTGTGCAACAGCTGCAGCTTAGACATCTCATGGGGCTTAAAGGAGATGTCATCTGCATAAAGATAGTAAGAGATTCCTTTAAAGGAGCTCAGGATGTGCTGAAGAGGAATCAGATAAAGGAGGAAGAGTAGTCCCCAGCACAGAACCTTGCGGGACACCATGGGTGAGGGATGTGGTGGAGAACCGAAACTTGAGCCCTTTTCAGATTGACATTCTGGAATGTGTGTGGACAATTCAGTCCGGTTTTTAACCAGAACTGTGTTTTCAGACACACCAATTTTGTACCTGAACTTGTCCTTTCAGCTGCCTTCACACAGCAGAGAAAAGTTCCAGATGTCTGAGGGGGAGGGGATAGGAAGGCTGTACCCGGATATTGCGTAAACATAGTGCAGCGGGCGTACATGCGTCATTTACCCAAACAAAGCTATTCAGTCAAACATGGCCGACGAAGAGATAGAATTCCTCTCACTGATCGGACTTATGCTAAGCATAATTCTGCCCATACAAAGACGCATAAGAGACCTGGATGATGAAGCTCAATGGTTAATAAAGGAGTCACGGAAGCGGCGTGAAGTGCTCCGTCGTGCGTCTAGGAGACGGTACCGTAGGAGGCGAGCTGCCATGGTTCGCCGCATGCTACAGGAGCGAGCTATCTAGGTGAGCACAGCGTCCCCCGGTCCCCTCCTCCTCCCTGTCCGGAACTTGACCTCACCAGTCTGAAGCAGCCACCGTGTCCGTGACAAGTCCGGTCCTATTACTAGGGGCAAAGGTTATTCGGATGTTTGTATTCAGACACAAAGGTCTTAAAAGATTAAAGATTAAAGTCCCATTTAGTCGTCACACACACACACACACACACAGGTGTGTGGTGAAATTTATTCTCCGCATTTGACCCATCCCCTGGGGGAGCAGTGAGCTGCAGACAAGCCGTGCTCGGGAACTATTTGGTGGTTTAACCCCCCAATCCAACCCCTTAATGCTGAGTGTCAAGCAGGGAGGCATTGGGTCCCATTTTCTCAAAGTCATTGGTATGACCCGACCAGGAGTCGAACCCCTGATCTCCCGATCTCAGGGCGGACACTCTACCACTAGGCCACTGAGTCGGTTACTAGGCCACTGAGTCGGTTTACAGCGTCCTTAAGTAAGCAGGGACCTGAGCAGATAACAGAGAAGCATTAATTATAGAAAATACACTGGGACCTATGGACTGTATCTGAATCTGTAAAAGAGACTTTAGCGGTTGTATGGGTTTCCGTGTGTTCACCTTCAAAATGAGTCTTTGGCTTAGCAACAACATCATGTGAGCAACACGGATATTAGCCTCTCTTTCAGCCTGAATCAAGTGCAACTACAGGGTCACAGAACCATCCATTCTAAATCATCGCAGCAGGGGACACCTTGGACAGGTCTCCAGTCCATCACACACTCACTCCTAGCATATCCTTACAATCTAGCACGCATGCTTTTAGTTTGTGGGGGTAAAGAATAGAGCCCACATGAAGTGTCTGAAAGTTGTCAATGAATAAAACCCTGTCCTCATAAATGTGGGCTGCTTTAGTCTTTGCTCTAATTCAATTCAAAAATACTTTATTAATCCCAGAGGGAAATTGATTGCTGTAGAAGCTCAGAATAAAAATGATAATCAGGTCATCAAAGAGTTGTTGTATATTACAATGGTTGTTGGCAGGAAGGATCTCCAGTAGCGGTCAGTGTTGCAGCTAAACTGAAGAAGCCTCTGACTGAAGACACTCTTCCGTTGTCGGACAGTCTTGTGAAGAGAATGCTCAGGGTTGTCCCTAATTTTCTTGATTCTCTGGAGAATCCTTCTTTGCATAATCTCCTCCAATGAATCCACAGTCGTCCCCAGAACAGAACCAGCCTTTTTTATTAGGCTGTTGAGCCTTTTCTGGTCCCTGCTTCTGATGCTGCTACCCCAACAGACGATGGCTGAAGAGATTACACTCTCAACAACAGACTTGTAGAAGATCTGCAGCATCTTGCTACAGACACTGAAGGACCTAAGTGTCCTCAAGAAGTGCAGTCTGCTGTGTCCCTTCGCTGTTCTTTCTCCAGTCCCGTCTGTTGTCCAGGTGAACTCCAAGGTATTTGTTTTCCTCAACCACCTCCACTTCTTCTCCCATGATGGAAACACTGTTTGACTCCACCCTGTTTCTTCTGAAGTCTAAAATCATCTCCTTTGTTTTGTTCACGTTCAAGGTCAGATGATTGTTTCCACACCATGCCACAAAGCGCTCCACCAGCTCTCTGTACTCAGCTTCCTGTCCATCTCTGATACACCCAACAACTGCAGAGTCATCTGAGTATTTATGTAGATGACAGGTCTCTGATTTGTACTGGAAGTCTGAGGTGAACAGGGTGAAAAGGAATGGTGAGAGTACAGTCCCCTGTGGTGTTCCAATGTTAATGATCGCCTGGTTTGATGTGCAGTTCTCCAGCCTCACAAACTGTGGTCTGTTTGTCAGGTAGTCTTTAATCCAGGCGATAGTTGAGGCCCCCACCTGTGTATTCTGGAGTTTCTGGCAAAGTACATCAGGCTGAATTGTGTTAAATGCACTGGAGAAATCAAAGAACATGACCCTCACAGTGTTGCCTGCTTTGTCCAGATGACAGTGGATTGGTGGAAGCAGCTGGATGATGGCATCTTCAACTCCAACTCCATGGCGATAAGCAAACTGCAGCAGGTCCTGATATGTCCTAGTTTGCTTATTCAGGTGGACCAACAGGAGTCTCTCTAGGACCTTCATGATGTGGGTTGTCAGGGCAACCGGTCTGTAGTCATCATTGACTGATGGGCGAGTTTTCTTTGGAACTGGAACAAGGCAGGATGTCTTCAACAAGACTGGAACCTTCTCCTGGGCCAGGCTGAGGTTGAAGAGGTGCTGCAGAATCCCACAGAGCTGCTCTGCACAGGCCTTCAGTACCCTGGGGCTGACACCATCTGGACCTGCAGCCTTGTTCCTGTTCAGTCTCTCCAGCTGCCTCTTCACCTGACTTCTAGAAACAGATAGGTGGGAGGGGGAGGTAAATGGGGCAGCAGCATCTCCTGACTTGGTTGAAGACAGATTTATAGAACCAGAAGAGTCCATGACTGTGTTAGAGGACAAAAGAGCTGGCGTGTGACAGGAAAATGTTGGATCAGAAGAGGATGGGATGTCTGTCTGGGGACAGGCGAGGAGGATGCTGGGTTTGTTCCTGAACTGAACCTATTGAAGAACTTGTTCAGTTCATTGGCTGTGTCCAGGCTGCCATCTGTGCAATCCTTCCTCAGCTTGAAGCGTGTGATCTTCTTTACACGACTTACTCTTTAAACGTATAAAGCAGCTAGTTAATTAGGGGTTTCTGACATTCCAATAAAGTACTTTAAAGAAGAGGTCACATTTCTGAATATGATTACATAAAACATTCGAAAAAAGAAATAAATAATTACAGGACTTGTTGGAAATGTTTTACCCTCATAAGGATTTTTTGAATCCCACCAGTTTGAGAAACTCTCCTCTAGAAAACATTTACACAAGCAGAACAATAACCAAGAACATGATCACAGGACCACAGCCACATATAGCCCAGCAACTATACACTTCATTCCCTCAGGGAGGTTAAACATGACCTTTGACCCTTGAGCTGACCTCTGCCCCAGCTTAATATAGTATAACTTAACATGTCTTGACAGTTATTTGCCCTGAGTAACATTTTTCATTCTCCTAAATTAACATGCGGTAATGAATCTGAAGGTCTTTTCTTTGAAGTTGGTTCCAAATGGGTTCATGAAGAGAAGTTGACCTGGTTTCAGCTGCCAACTCTGACTCTGTGTTCTGGTCTCACTATAATTCAATTCAATTCAATTCAAAAATACTTCATTAATCCCAGAGGGAAATTGATTGCTGTAGTAGCTCAGAATAATAATAATAATAATCAAGTCATCAAAGAGTTATTGTATATTACAATAAGGTGCCATCGGCTAATATTGGTGTGGTAACATGCATCAGTAAGTTTTTGATAATTATTTTAATTCTCTGCCAGATGAAACTATGCTCAATTAAATTAAATAGCAACAACATTTCCAGGGAGATTATTTACAGTGTCTACTGTTTACAGGGAGTGCAGAATTATTAGGCAAATGAGTATTTTGTCCACATCATCCTCTTCATGCATGTTGTCTTACTCCAAGCTGTATAGGCTCGAAAGCCTACTACCAATTAAGCATATTAGGTGATGTGCATCTCTGTAATGAGAAGGGGTGTGGTCTAATGATATCAACATCCCAAATTAGGTGTGCATAATTATTAGGCAACTTCCTTTCCTTTGGCAAAATGGGTCAAAAGGACTTGACAGGCTCAGAAAAGTCAAAAATAGTGAGATATCTTGCAGAGGGATGCAGCAGTCTTAAAATTGCAAAGCTTCTGAAGCGTGATCATCGAACAATCAAGCGTTTCATTCAAAATAGTCAACAGGGTCGCAAGAAGCGTGTGGACAAACCAAGGCACAAAATAACTGCCCATGAACTGAGAAAAGTCAAGCATGCAGCTGCCAAGATGCCACTTGCCACCAGTTTGGCCATATTTCAGAGCTGCAACATCACTGGAGTGCCCAAAAAGGTGTGCAATACTCAGAGACATGGCCAAGGTAAGAAAGGCTGAAAGACGACCACCACTGAACAAGATACACAAGCTGAAACGTCAAGACTGGGCCAAGAAATATCTCAAGACTGATTTTTCTAAGGTTTTATGGACTGATGAAATGAGAGTGAGTCTTGATGGGCCAGATGGATGGGCCCGTGGCTGGATTGGTAAAGGGCAGAGAGCTCCAGTCCGACTCAGACGCCAGCAAGGTGGAGGTGGAGTACTGGTTTGGGCTGGTACCATCAAAGATGAGCTTGTGGGGCCTTTTCGGGTTGAGGATGGAGTCAAGCTCAATTCCCAGTCCTACTGCCAGTTTCTGGAAGACACCTTCTTCAACCAGTGGTACAGGAAGAAGTCTGCATCCTTCAAGAAAAACATGATTTTCATGCAGGACAACGCTCCATCACACGCGTCCAAGTACTCCACAGCATGGCTGGCAAGAAAGGATATAGAAGAAGAAAAACTAATTACATGGCCTCATTGTTCACCTGATCTGAACCTCATTGAGAACCTGTGGTCCATCATCAAATGTGAGATTTACAAGGAGGGAAAACGGTACACCTCTCTGAACAGTGTCTGGGAGGCTGTGGTTGCTGCTGCACGCAATGTTGATGGTGAACAGATCAAACACTGACAGAATCCATGGATGGCAGGCTTTTGAGTGTCCTTGCAAAGAAAGGTGGCAATATTGGTCGCTGATTTGTTTTTGTATCGTTTTTGAATGTCAGAAATGTATATTTGTGAATGTGGAGATGTTATATTGGTTTCACTGGTAAAAATAATTAAAATGGGTATATATTTGTTTTTTGCTAAGTTGCCTAATAATTATGCACAGTAATAGTCACCTGCACACACAGATATCCCCCTAAATAGCTAAATCTATAAACAAACTAAAAATTACTTCCAAAAACATTCAGCTTTGATATTAATGAGTTTTTTGGATTCATTGAGAACATGGTTGTTGTTCAATAATAAAATTATTCCTCAAAAATACAACTTGCCTAATAATTCTGCACTCCCTGTATTAACCAGCTTTAAAAAACAAACCCGTGAAATACAGACGGATTTCTCACACAGCAGAGAACAAAAAATAAAAACACACAAAAAAAAAAAAAAAAAAAAAAAAACAACAACTATGAAGCCAGTCTCTCCTGGAAGTTTGTTTGGTCTGTGAGTTTCGAGCTAATGTATCAGATAACATGTGAAACATGCAAACTCACTCAAAGACTCAACTTGAAAGTCTGAACAAAGAAAACCTAACATCTTAAACCCACAGAAGAACCTGCAGTTCCATCTAGAGCGTTTAGGTTTAGGACTAAGGAGAGCTGAACTGGTGTCAGAGTAAAACCTTCAGATCTGTATAAATACAGAGAACCAGACCTGAACGGCTGCTGAGTATCAGTAACTAGACTAGATTACTCACAAAAGTAAAGATACAAGGAACGATGAAATGGTCGTACCAACGTACTGGGCATGGAGGATAAAAACAAGACTTTAACAGGGAAGCAGAACATTCCTTAGAAATAAGGCACAGGTTGGGTCTCCTCTCAAACCCATGGACAGACCAATGCAGTAGGTGCTGTGTGGACAGCAGCAGGCACCAGCAGAACCCAGGTCTCCCAGTCTCTGACTTCCTCACATGGAGTTGGTTCTAGTGCTCACCTCTCTCTCTGCTCCAACCAGCTTCAGTAAAGGCTCCAGGCCTGTTGTTGTTGACGCTGGGGCTGAAGTGATGGAGAGGTGGTGAGTTGGCTAGGACCTAGCTGCTTTCCACACACAAACAATCAGTCCAGCTTCTCTTTCTGGACCAGTCTGGGGGCATCTACAAAGTCTGGTCCATTAAACAGGATTAGGCCTCCAGTCAAAACGCTGGCCGTGCCCCAGAACAGAACATATGCCAGAGTTTCAGTCCAAGTGTCACCTGCCACAAATACAGAAGAGAAACGGTTAGATGAGGACTTTAAAGCCTGAAGAGGAACTTCAGTGGAGCATCATGATGGAATCTGTCTTGGTTTATTAAATTTTTTTTTTAATTAAAAAAAAAAATAAATAAATAATAATAATAATCAACATTACTCTCCCTTTTTTCCAGTTTTGCCTAAAACCATTACCCAGCTTCGGCTAATTACTATAGCCATCATCAGAGTTGTGCCGGCAAAAATCTGATGATGGCTATAGTAATTAGCCAAAACGTTAGCAAAACAAGGTAAAAAAAAAAAAAAACTCCTTTTCTCTGTGTTTTAAAAGAACCAAGCAATGTACTGCAGACTTTTAACCTGAAGCGGGCGCAACAGTTGAATTATTACATTTTAAATAAGAGCCACTAAAATGTCAAAATAATGACTACAAATGTCTACAGCACTATTAAACAATCAATTATACAGTTTATCAGCAAAAAAGATGATTTGGGGTGACTTGCTCTTTAAGTGGTTGTGTTGTTAGGCTTTTATAGTTTGCATACTTACTCTTTAATTTTTTTTTTTCAAAAATAATAAGGAAATAACAATAATAGGTAGGGCTGCACAATAAATCATAAATATATCATTATCGCAATATCAGCACGCACAATATGCATATCGCAAAGAACAGATAAATATCGCAATGAATGGTCAGCTCAAATGTTTGCTACACATAATGCATTCTGTCAACCAAACGAAAGCATTATGTTTTTTTAACAAATCAAATAGAGCTCTTCACCCATTTGGCCAATTGGGTGGGTTCTCATAGGTTAGATGCCCGCCCCTGAGGCGGATGACACTTAATTTTGTTGGTTAGCAAACACCTGAGTTAGCTTTGTTCTGCTCTTTCAGCTGATTCTCCTTTTCTTGTTCATTTTCTTTTTCCCTTTCCTCATATCTTTTGCTTTTCTCATTTTTATGATATTTTTTTCTTTGTTTTTGATTATTTTTGTTCCTGAGTTAAGTTTTTATTTATCGCAAGTAATATCGTCATCGCAACATTAATCATTGTTATCGAATATCGCAGGTTTTCCTAATATTGTGCCCTAATAATAGGTTTTAGGTTGATAGGCAAAAAGACACACGCTGATGTTCAGGCAGGAACAAATATGAAGGTTAGCGCCTCCAAATTCACCGCCATGCACTGCTGGTCTTTGTAGTCGAGGAAAGACGCGATCTACGTGGACTGGGTAGAATGAGTACTCACACGAATACGACCCCTGGCTTTGGACACAGCCACATTTGCCTTCAAATCCATAATAGCTGTGTCACACTGGAGTGTAATAAGTGTGCTAATGTCATCTAATTACAATATCAGGATCTGTTATTGCACGGGCAAGGAAAATGTTCTGTATTATTATGAATGAGTTGATATGGCCCACCCCCAGCTCCAACAACTGACTTCACAACTTAAATGAGTCCAAACATAAGAGCTAAACGTTTAACTAAATGAGTGAAAATAAATTGTAGAATCATCAAACTGAGGGTAAAATGACGCTGTTCAAGTGTAAACTTGATGAAGGTCTGAGAATAGCATCACAGTCTTACCAGCCATCACCAGGCAGATGATGCACATGGAAAAAGCTACAACCATGATGACAGGTAACTAGGAAAAGACAAAAGAAAAGACAGACATTTAAATAATTGAATTGGAGAAAAAAATACTGTAATGTGTGTCAATGGTGTGTTTTACCGTAAAAAACTTCCAGTCTTTGATGTCGTGCAGTGGGTTGACCCAATCGGTTTCATCCACAGAGTAGTTCCCCAGAAACAAGTCAATGGAGTCCTGAGTTAGAACAGACCACATCATACACCTTCTGCAGTTACAGAGTGAATATCCTGCTGAACTTCTGGGAAGCTTAAGTCCAGGGTAACAATACATGTTCAGTTTATTTCGGGCTGACTTGCTTGTTATATATGAGACTTGGGATTTATAATCTGTTATCACCTGGTGTGTTCTCATTTTAATACAGGCTGTCTTACACAATTACCGTAAATCCTCTAATACAGGCCCGGGCCTGTATTTGACTCAAGCTCATCAAGCTCCAGGCCTTTATTGGAAGGAGGACCAGAATTAGAGGCAGGCCTCAATTTCTATTTGAGCAAAATGAACTAATGGTTCGCTGGAGTTTTTGACAATTAAAATTGTGCCACATTTTCAAAGTTAAACACATTTCTTTTAACAACGGTAGTTTCTGCTTCAAACCCCTCCCCCCACCCCCACCCCACCCCACCCCCTGCGCAGCGCCGCAAACTCACTGATGCGCCTGCAGCCTCTCGGAGTTCCTGCTGCTCTAAACATTAAAATAATTATTTAATTTTCTGTTCCTCACTTCTGATGACCTTCAATGGTGTCTGTTTGTTGCAACCACCAGGTACAAAAACTAACTTGTTTTTATTTGACCATTTTTCTGTCCTGCCTGTTTATTATCTTCCTGCATCTCCTCTCAATCCTAAAGAAAAACTGCTACCTGGGTTCATATATATTCACCTCATGAGTTACCTTTGAACTGCAGTAGGGCTGCAACAAACGATTATTTGGATAATCGATTAATCGGATGGGGTCTCGACACGATTAATCGATTAATCGGATTACATGGGGAAATTTTTAAAAACTGCTAGGGAAACGTTATTTCTCTCCTTCCTTCACTTTATTTAACACAACATTATTAGAAAACAGTTCAATAGCAGAAAAACAACATGCCATCACCTAAATTGACTTATAAGGTGTATAGACAGAGACCCTAAGCTACATCTATCTGTGACCTAAAATGCTTGGTCCAAGTTAAACAGCTTAAGGGCAATTCTCATCTGTTTTGTTTGATCTCATCTGTTGACATTTATTTTAAATGTAATTAAACATAGGCTGTGAATTAATCAAAATTGATCACTATTTCCAAAACTGACTGAAAAAATACCAAATAAAACAAAAGTAAATGAATGCCATCCTCCTTGCGATGATGCCCTGGGCAACTGCCATAAAGTCACATCAAGAAATGCTGCTGATCATTCCAATGATCCCAAATAGACTCACATTAGGCCACATGAAAGCAACTGAACCCAAAAATATATTAACCAGTATATAACTGCACTCTCACACAACACGCCTGCAGCAACAGTTAGGACTCCTCCCTCCCTTTTAAAAGCGTTTTTGCTTCTGAGGACATTGTGGTTGTAAAACCACATGCTAGTAGTCTGGCCCCGGTGTGATCAACCAGTTTCTGCGGGAATGTGACGGCGGAACTAGGGCCAGATTAACACTTTGTTGTACCCTGGGCAACAATATTCAAGGGCTCCATCATCACGACCCAAGGATCACCATAATGTGGTCACATACAGAATATATTACTGTAATATGCAGTAAATATACTCAATACTTGAATGCCTGACAACACGTAACCCGCCCAGAGTAACCTTTGACCCACCTCGTGTGGACTGACCAATGAGGAGAGGGTCTTAACTTGAGGCCCTCTCTTCATTGGTCAGTCTGCATGAGACTGACTCTCAACTGACATTCAGTCGTAGGCAGCGAAGCGTCTCTGTGCAGCGCAAAAGCCCGGGTGGACAGTTTGTTTAATATAGGGTGACCATATTTCCATTTCCAAACAAGAGGACAGGGGATCTGTGCCTATGACGTCACACTATGGCAACGCCACACAAACCATGTTGGGACCCATTTTTGTAAGAACTAAATTAATATCAGATTCTGCCAATTAAAGGGCTCTAAAACAATTCATATGTAAATATTTTGCATATTTAATGCAAAATCTCATTTTTATGCTTTAGTGCTGCAACAAGGTTTTAGTAATAATAAATTATTATACCTTTTGTTTTACTACAGCATCGGTAAGCTTCCTGTGCACAGATTATTAAGGATGCTTGTTTCAGCTGTGAGATTAGACGATAGGATCAATGAAAAAATAAGTTGTCACACACTCCATGGAAACTTTCTGAGAATCCACAAATAGTGGCTTTCAAATGGTTTTGTTACTTTTTGCAAGTTTATAAAATAAGCAGATGAGACAGCATGTCTGATAATTTAGTTTTTCATCTGATCATATTAGAACATGTCAGTAATGTCTGAGGGGCTCTTATAAACACTGTATAACTAACACTCCTGGAGAGGGCATGAATTACACAGAGGCTTCTGGGGAGCCCAGTTATGGGGGGGGGGGGGGGGGGGGGGGGGGCATTTTGCCTTGGCCCCAAAATGTCTTGAAACGGCCCTGGGTGTGTGACTGAGTTTTGAAGGTGATCTGAATTGTATCAGATGTATAAATATGACATGTGTATAACTTATTGTTTTTTACTGGTAAAAACGTGTAGTGGAGATAAATCTACCTACATTTGACTTTTCAACACTTTGTTTTGTTTTCTTGTTTTTATTGAACTATTTTCCTGTCCTGTCTGTCTCTCATCTTCCTGCATCTCCTCATAATTCTCCAGAAAATCTGTTGCCTGGATTCTTACCTTTTCACCTCATCAGTTACTTTTGAGCAGATCAAAGATCTCCTGACCGAAAAGCGCAGAGCGCGTTTTCGATGCTGCGTGAGGTGACATCACCACAGCACAGGTGATGAGCTCCGCAGTAGCGAGCTTCAGGCACAAATAAGACAGAAAATAGAGAACATGTGCGGACATGAACGATCGTGTGCTAATTATAGTTTTTTGGTTGCGCCACTTTGAGAATGGACCGTGCGCTGGAAGCAGCTGCCTGGATCGCTGCGCGACAATGCGGAACCGGTTCGCAGCAGCGCAAGTCTGCCGGCTCTCCCTCGCGCTGATCTGCCGGTACCGGCTCTCCCTCGCGCTGATCTGCGGCTCTCCCTCGCGCTGATCTGCCGGCTCTCCCTCGCGCTGATCTGCGGCTCTCCCTTGCGCTGATCTGCGGCTCTCCCTCGCGCTGATCTGCCGGCTCTACCTCGCGCTGATCTGACTTGCTCTGGTCTGCGCGCAACGGCGGGCGGGAGGGGGGGGGGGGGGGGGGGGGGCGCTTTTGGAAGAGTTGTGCGACACAACGAATCGATGACGCAATTCGTTGCCAACGCTTTTAGTAATCGATTTTCATCGAATTTATCGATTCGTTGTTGCAGCCCTAACTGCAGTTCTAAAAGATCTACCGACCGCAAAAACAGCGGAGTGCTCGCCGGCCACATCAGTTAGGTACGTCGCCGAGGACAAAAGGGTAATGCGCCCCGATCCACAGCAGCGAAACGCATCAGGCACAAATAAAAGCATAAAAGACAGAAAACATTAAAGGAAATGAGCCGACATGAACGATCGCGTGTTAAATTAGTTTTTGAGGTGGCGACACCTGATTTGATAATGTTACTGTGGCCGTGCTCAGGACGCAGATGTCTGGAGCGCATCAACAATCAGAGCTTTGCATGCACAAGCTGGTTAAGGTTAGGATGGGGGTGAGGGGAAGGTTAAATTGCAAGAGGGTAAACGTCACAGTTTGGTTAAATGTCCGTTTTACGGCGGGTGTCAGTACCGAAGCTCTGGCACAGCGCGTTGCCTGCTGACAGCAGGCTGCTGTCTTTTCCGAGGACTGCATCTTGCCGGTCATTATCACATGACAGCGACTAGTCGATGACAGGCACAAAAAAGTCACTACAGAGCGGTGAAGTCGACTAGTGACTAGTTCATACAACCCCTGCTATTGCTCCCCAGTGTTCTGCAGCATAATCAGCATGTTCTCTTTGAACTTGATATCAAATTTTCACCTCCTCTTCATCTCCACACGGTTAAAGTTACCCTCGCGGTCTATCACTGGCAAATCAAAAGTGAGACGGATGACACAACCACCCCCCGTACTTGCTTGTTACCACATTCCACCAGGCCACAATAAAAAACCGGCCATTATTCACCTCCGCCGACACCGGCCAAAATATGATACCCGGTACCGGCAGTTAATTAAATACAGGCTAATATTAGAGGTTTTATGGTAGATAAATTCTGGCAAAGCAGCACAACCCGACGTCCCACTAACTGATATTTGATTTGGTCTGGTTTAAAGTGTTGTCACCAAAAAGGTCAAGAGGTCATCTACAACATATAATGAGTTGAATTATGAGTCCTTAGGTTAAAAGCTTACTGAGACTGTAGGAGCCAAAAGCTGTGTTCTGTGTTTCAGTCCAACTTGTGTAAACCAGCTCCAGTAAACCTTGAGCCCTCGGATCATGTCGGGATAACAGGGCTCGTCGACCTCTGGGCTGGAGGGTGCATTGACCATATTGAGAAGTGTAAACATCACCCCATCCTCTCTCCACTTTTATCAAAGGACTGTGGGAGTAGCCCAGGGACAAAAAGTATAAATTTAGGACTCCACATTTGGTCGAGGTCTTCTGTAGTTGGCTGTCCTGAGATGTGAGATGAATGAATAAAGAGACCCACGCTGTCTGGCTGAGTTGCCCGTCTCCGACTCCTTCTTTAAGAATAACAGAGAAACCCCACATATTGGCACCGCAGATGGGTGAACAGAGGGGAGTTCCAACAGCGGCCCTTGGCTCCTGTCCAGTGGCTGAGGTCCGAAGGGCCCAGGTGAGCATGTTTTTGTTCATTTTTGTGGCCTCTGTCACTGGGCAGGGGTGGGGGGGCTGTCCTCCTGTTCTGATAATACTATAAATATCAGTTGGAGAGGGGATTCATGTCTGGCAGTGGTGTAAAATATTCACACCGTGTGAACAGCTGTGTCATTTTGATGACGGACAAATTTTAAGTGTCAAATTAAAAGGTGGGAGAGCAAATTGGAATAGAATTTTAACAGCTGATGGTTCTGAGAGGTCGACACTCTTTAATCCAGTCTGCTGACTAGGTTGAGCAGAGACGGGGATCTTGAAGAAAAAGCGCTGAAGTTGAGAGAGATTACCTTTGCCTCTAGTTCGACTATCCCTGGGGATTGGTAAATTTAATAAGAGTTTGTGGCAAAGTATGTAAAAAAACAGGCGCCGTGAGCTCGGGACGACCTGTACGTTGTAGTTTGCAGCAAAAAAGGCTGTAAAAACAGTTTCCGGGAGCTCGGGATTCTGTAGTTCTGTAGTCACTTGCATATTAAAGCAGACACCATTACACTGTAAGACTCCATGAAACCATTGTAGTCAAAACTGATTAGAATTGGGTTGTCCTGATTTATTTGCCCCATCAGAGAGATCGACGACACCGATAATGACCAGATAATCAAATCGTCTAGCTTCTACACCTGCTGGACCTCAACTCCTTTGAATGCAGCAGGGTGGATTCCGTTATTTGGTTACCTTTGTTTGTTTTCATTACCAGCATATTGAATCTGTTTTTCCACAGATGATGTAGGATCAGAGTCCTTCTAAAGCCCTTCTGCTTTGTGAAACCATAGAAGGAACCCTATCTCGGATCTTTGAACGTACATCAGCAGTTATGATATTAGATGTAATTTAGAAAGATTATTGAAGAATGAAGGTGAATTAGAAATGTTCTGTTGGGTACTTCATACCCTAGGACCTCCAGTCTCTTTTCTGTATTTATATCATTAGGATGGCACTGACAAAATCGTCTGTTTTACTTTGTTTTTAACTGGTAGTGAAACACATAGAACCTAGCTTGTGTGGGTTTGGTTCACTTTGTTTAGATATAATGATGTTTTTATTTATAATGCGTTAACATGTCACCATCTTAACCAGAACTCATTGGAAGAACAGATGTCGTAATGGGATCAACGGAAAAGGATAACTCCTACTTCACATTGGAGGAATTAGCAGCATGGAATGTTCCCATTATAATCTATAGGGTTGATCCAAACCAATGGAGGTGCGGAAATTTTCAGGTACATCCCAGAAGCAGCACGCCGCGCTGCTAAACATGGGATTGGGTTCTTTTTGCTGCGAGCTTCTTCTGGGACACGTTAATTTGTGCAGTTAACATAGGGCCAGACAGGAAATCACACAGTTTCCGTGTAAAACATCAGGTATATTTCAAAATAAGACTATTGCAAAGATGAGATTTCTTATCTATGTAGATTACTTCAATACATGGGGCAAAATGGCCTTTTTACTCTGGCGCACAGCGAAACATGCAAGTAAACCAACAAAATGACTCTGACTCACCTGTTTGAAGCCATCAGAGAAGTTGTTCTTGTAATAACGAATTGTGGAGTTCCAGCCATCCATAACAACACCCAGCACAGTCCTCTTCCCTGTCCTGAAAGACCATGAAAAACCAAACACAAAATCACATGACCGTGATTTACAGAAACACTGTGGATACACACATCTGAAGGCAAACACATGTTTAAATTACAGATGATCAGAAATTACAGATGATCAGAAGAGCTGGTAAGTGGTATAAAAGCAGCAATGTCTAAAGTATATTTACTTTTATTTGATTAATTTTTGATCCAGTTCAGACTAAAAATCCTCAGATAAACTAGGCTAAATCAGTTCTACAGGTTTCTTATATTTCTACAACTCTCACACAACTCTTTGTTGTTTAAAAAGAATAAATAATTATCATCATCATCATCATCATATTTATTTCTATAGCACTTTCCATCATCCAAGAGGTGAACCATAGTGCCGCACACGTACAAAATGCTAAACAACACACGGCCAACCATAAAATATACATCAAAACAAACAAAAACATGAAACAAAAGTGTCGGTAAAATGTTGATAATAAACTACTGAATAAAAGTTAGCCAATATGTCTAAAATTGTCTAAAAACGTAGCTAACTCATGTGCTGAGGGAATGCCACAGTATAAAAGTGAGTCTTCATCTGACTCTTAAAACCCGGCAGTGAGGGTGCTTGTCTGACCATGCGTGGAAGGTCATTTCACAGCTTGGGAGCCAAAACTGAGAAAGCCCTACCTCCTCCAGTCAAGCATTTTATGCTGAACGACTAGTAAGTTTTGCTGTGATGACCTACGTGCACGTGATGGGTTGTAGCAGGTGAGTAGTTCAGACAGATTGCTAAGAGTACTGCCCTGCAGAGACTTAAAAACAAAGACAAGTATCTTGAACCTGACTTGGAAAGATACTGGAAGCCAGTGCAGATTGGCCAAAACGGGTGTGATGTGTTCCTGCTTTCTAGTGCCGGTCAGGAATCTAGCAGCAGCATTTTGAGTAAACTGGAGCAGAGCAAGTGCAGCCTTGCTAACTCCAGAGTAAAGGGAGTTGCAACAATCAAGCCGTGAAGCAAGAAAAGCATGGACTACAGTCTCTAGATGGGCTTAGGACCCTAGAGGCTTCATCCTGGATGGGCAGCTAAGATGGAAAAAGCAAGAGTGTACCATAAACACATCTTTGTATGCACAACTCCTCGTTTGTGGGGACGCAACACATTTTATTTAATTTGTATTTAGAACAGACCTGATGTAAGGATGTTTATAGTGGTCTATACTGATTCTAGTGTGATAAAAGCAATTTAGATAATTTCCTCAGTTTTTATCAGCTCTAAACAAAACAGTTCTACCAGTTGCTTTTGGTAAGTTCCAACCCTCACCTCAGGTCTTGAACTTTGGGTAATGACTGAAAGCACAAGATCCTGAATACAAGCAGCCAAAATGCTGCTTATTTATTCAAATTCATCATTTTTACATAGGAAGGAGAAATAAATATGGAGATTTTCACTGCTCTGTGTTAAATAATGGTTATATATAGACAAAATGATCAGACAGACGATTTTCTCCCCCAGTATTAAGCATTCTGACCACCAACAGCTCAGACCACTCTTGGTACCCAGCGTATCACTGACACTGATGAACATTCAAAGGGTCAGTTCTCCTCACTGATTGCTGCATGACTGAAATGAATAAGTGAACTAGCCAGCATGCACTTGGCTGAACGTTATGAAAAAACTAACCTGGTGAAGTCGGTCTTTAAGGCACCAGTGCCTGCATACTGCTTGGCACAAGCATCAGCATTGTCTGCCCAGGCTACATGGAAACAAATCAGAAAAAAAAAACTAACAAAGATTCTGACATTTTACACTACATCAACAAGCCAGAACATTGATAACACATGACAAGGGACCGTTGACCGGGTTAGAAGAAGTTTATCATTGAAGTTACAATTTTACAGAAGTGATGTTTGTGTTTTGAGAACAGATGAAAAGCAAAGGTGTGGTGATTACTGTATGTCATTTGACAAATGATGGTGAGATGACTGTATTTGTGTATATGAGATTGTGTTTTATTAGATCTTAACCATTCGTTGGAGGCAGAGTAGTAGAAACAGAATTATTTCAGTGCCAAATTTGTAAGAGCCCCACTTATGAAATACATTAAATCATGGTAAAATACATTCCTCAGGTTTGCACCAGCAAACAAATGACTGACTGCCAATTAGTGTTTCCATTAACGGAACTTCAAGATAAATTCACAGGAACTTCCCGATATTACTGAACGGCCATTTTCAGGAACATTCTGAGTACCTGATCAGGGGTAGGTACTCGAAATGGCCTGGTGGAGTAGCTGACCAGGGGACCTCATTTATCAAGCTTGCTTACGCACAAAACAGGGTCAGAAAACTGCGTAAGCAACTTTCCACACAAACGTTGGGATTTATGAAAGAAAACTTAGCGGAAAAATGTGCGCAGCTTTAAGTTGACTAAGGACCTTGCTTACGCACATGTTAGACATGGAGAGCACCTGCAGTGCTGCTGCTGAGAAGGATAAAATTATGAAATCCTGCAGCATTATCACTTGTACTGCTTTGTTTTCACACAGAACTAGACCCCCCCACACACACACACATGCGCGCGCGCACGCACGCGCACACACACACACACAGCCTGAAGCGCAGAATATGGAATGCAGAATATCAGCAGGGGGACAGATTGAGACAGAATGTCATGCGTCTGTGACAGTGTGTGTCCTGTCCCTGTGACCCGATTGATCATGCACCCTGGCTACTTGGGCAAGGGAGATCTCCGTTTGGCTGACTGGTTAGCATGCATGACTTTCACCTGAGAGTCTGGGGATCGAATCCCGATCGAATCATTTTTTAAAAATGCGCCACAGATCTCTCTGAAGAACTCACAACATTGACGGCTTCAGCAACGCTGTGCCACTCCGTGGATTTTCACTTATATGTTTTGCAAAAGCACTTCCATTCATTTCTCCACCTCACCCACAAGTACCTCACTTTCTGCTTCTGTGAAATTGCGCTTCCTTGATCTGCCTTGATCTACGGTCGCAATCGTCATTGGCAGAGCGCTGCAACAGTCAGCTTATGTATATGCATGAGATCCACAAGGCACTTTGCATTGACTATTTATGGCAGTAAGTGGGCGTGGTGAGGGTGGGATGTGACTAAAAAGCAGCTGAGAATGTTTCCAGATAGTTTCTGATTAATGAAGCTGAGATTGCGTGCAGCTGTGCGTACTCCATGTTTGATAGGTCACAAACCTACTTGGTGTAAGTACTTTTTTTTTGCTGAGCTTAAGTACGGTTTTAGTAAGGATTCTACGCAATGTTTGATAAATGAGACACCAGAGCTTTTAGTTAACTCATGCTGATTGGTTGTAACTCAGTAGGAAATGACATCAGCAGATGCCGTTCAAATGACATCACGCACTGCCGAAGAAGTCGCAATATGCTTACTTTGATGCAAAGTCCTGAAAGAGCTGAATTTTTTTTTGGAGACACAATAGCTGCAAGGAATGAGACATCGTATCTCCTGTTCAATTTCCCCATCCAAGACGTTACCCTGAGGTTCCAGCAATGGAAACGTAGCTATTCAGTTTTTTTTTCGTAATGTTTAACTTTTTGATACAAGACTTTGGTTTCAGAAACTACAAACAGTAAAAAATTGGTATGTCAGTTGATTAGTCTAGGTAAAACAATGGTTGTGTACTGAGGCAACTTTTGGCTTACCCACCATTCTTATATGTCTTTTCAAAGTCTCTCTGCTCTTCAATCTTCTGGCATGAGTGGAGAACTCCCATTCTCTATGATAGAAGAGAAAAACCTAAATAGAGCAAAGATCTTAGATGTTTTTTAATTATTACTACTGTTTCTTGAAAAACACTTGGCTTTTTGTGCATTTTTGAGGTATTAAAGGAAAATCGACAGGCAAGATGGCGGTGTGAGCTGTCGAAGCAGATTATGACTCTCTTTTTCTGTGCACTTTTCTTTTGTTTGTCTTTCTCAGTTGCTTGTCCATGATTGGTTCTAAAAACCTTCGCTGTACCCACCAGGAACCCAAAAATCTATTTTGCAGTTCTTTCACCGAACACACAATATACCAGATAAGAGACCAGCAGGTTCTCTGTGGTCTGCTGTCGGCCCTGGGAGGAGGCGGAGACGAAGGAGAGCGATGAAAGGCTGCAGGGCCGCAGTTATGCTGAGGCTAAGAAAATGACCACACAAGTCACCTCTACCAAGTCTGGATCTCTCTAACACCAGATCACTGGTGCACAATACTATCTGGAGTTACAAATGTTGGGAAACCGCCACATTCGTGAACGCTGTGTCTCCATTATCACTGAATCTTGGCTCTACCAGAGTATACTCGAGCTAGCAGGCCACACTCTGCTGTGCTGGGATAGGACAAAGGACTCTGATAAGAACTGATTCTGAACACAAGGAAGACTAAGGAGTTCATTGTTCCCTTTAGAAGGCATAGCACTGACTATATTAAAGGTAAGCATGTGGAAAAAGTCAACACCTTCTGGTACCTTGGCATCCTTATCTCCTGTGACATCACATGGACAAGGAACATAAAAGCAGTCATGAAGAAGGCTCAGGGTGACTTCACTTTCTTAGAGTTCTGAGGAAGCACAAACTAGCTTCTATCCTGCTGCTGCTGACTTTCTACCGTTCAGCAATCAAGAGCCTGCTGTTGATAACATGCATAACAACATGGCAGACAGGAAGAAGCTTCCGAGAGTATTCAAGATGGCAAAGAAGATCATCAGGTGCTCTCTCCCATCCCTAACAAATAGTTTATACCTCCTGCTGTCTCAGCAGAGCTAACAACAACATCACAGACTCTTCCCCTCCTGGCTTTAAGCTGTTTGACCAGTTGCCCTTGGGAAGATGGTACAGGCGCATCAGATCAAAGAGCATCAGACTTCCGAATATGTTTTCTTTTCAAAAGTCATAAACATACTGAATTTCACATGAACTCACTGACTGGACTGTACATAACATATAGATATCGTCATGTGCAATAAACAGATATTCATCTATGACATTACATGCAGTTACTCGTTGAATTGTGACATCACCTTGTACACTCACTGGCCACTTTATTGGGTACATCTTGCTAGTAATGGGTAGAACCCCCTTTTGCCTTCAGAATTGCCTTAACTCTTCGTGGCATAGATTCAACAAGGTACTGGAAACATTCCTCAGAGATTGTGGTCCATATTGACATGATAGCATCACGCAGTTTCTGCAGATTTGTCAGCTGCACATCCATGATGCGAATTTCCCGTTCCACCAGATCCCAAATGTACTCTATTGAAATGAGATCTGATGACTGTGGAGGGGACCATTTGAGTACAGTTAACTCATCGTCATGTTCAAGAAACCAGTCTGAGATGATTCGAGCTTTATGACATGGAGCATTATCCTGCTGGAAGTAGCCAGCAGAAGATGGGTACACTGTGGTCATGAAGGGATGGACATGGTCAGCAACAACACTCAGGTAGGCTGTGGCGTTGCAACGATGATCAATTAGTACTACGTGTGTACAAAGTATAAAGTATGCCAAGAAAATGTCCCCCACACTATTAAACCACCACCAGCCTGAACCATCGATACAAGGCAGGATGGATCGTAAGCTGGACAATGTTCTAGCTGCAATACTGGTATTAGTGCGCAAAATAGATGTCATCTCGGAGAGAGTCACCGGACAGTATGGACAGGTTTAAAAACCCAAAATTGGCTTCACTGAAGGACTGGAAATGATCCGTTTAAAGACTGAAGGCAGAGAGGAAAATTATCTCAGCCTGACCCAAACAAATTCTTGTTATCTGAATCTGACACCCCGGTAGCCTTGAGCTGCAAGCAACTAAAAACCCCCAACAAAGGAATGTAGACAGATGCTGTGAACCCCCCCCCCCCCCCCCCCCCCCGCCTTCCTATTGGAGTCTCATGTTATGTTGTGTTGTCTGAAGTCTGTTGCATATCATCGGAGGTGTTTTTTTGCAGAGCAAAGCTGCCCTCCCGGTGGAGAGTAACTCTGAAGTAGCTTTTTTTCCCTCCACCTGAACCAATCCTCATGTAACCCTCTTATCTCTATTAAGGCAGCGCGGCTCGGGTTGCGAATGACCACAGTCACCAATTCTTGTCATGTGTCTTGCCCATGTGTGTCTGATCTCTGAACTGTGTGTACTGAAACTCTAATTTCCCTCTGGTATTAATAAAGTGTTGATTGATTGATTGATTGATCCGTGCTTTCATGATGCCAAATTACGACCCTGCCATCCGAATGTTGCAGCAGAAATTGAGACTCATCAGACCAGGAAACATTTTTCCAATATTCTATTGTCCAATTTTGGTGAGCCTGTGCAAATTGTAGCCTCAGTTTTCTGTTCTTGGCTGATAGGAGTGGCACCAGGTGTGGACTTCTGCTGCTGTAGCCCATCTGCAACAAGGTTCAAGTATTGTGCGTTCAGAGATGCTCTTCTGGCCAACACATCCTGTCGGCAACAAGATGGCGCCTGTGCATGGCTTAGCCGCAGTCACCGGCCACTTTACTTTTCTCCACTAACCTCCTCTTTTCCACCTTGCTCCTGTCTGCGATCCTCTTCAGTAGTGTCCCTGCTACCATCTCCTATGATCGCCAGACTCTTTTGTCCTTCCGTTCGTTCACGATCGCCCAAGACGCACCGAGGACGTACCATCCTGTTTGTTTACCTGAGTGGCGGCGCACTGGCCTGGAACCAATCGACGGTCCCGAGCTCTCAGGCTATGTTTGTCCGGTCCCGGGAAAACATTGGAGGAAAAGAGGTAAACGAGCAGGAATCCAGGTGAGAATAAGACTTCTCTTAAAGCGTGGTTTATCTAGTAAACATCGGCGCAATCTTCTAGCTTCTTGTCCTTTGTTTGGTGACCTGAGCGCCACTTCCGCATTCCCGCCAGGCCACGTTGGGATGCGGTTCATCCGTCCAAGTTTTTTCAGGTCGGTTTATCCTCATTCCTCAGTGGTTTCTCCTCCTGTTCCCTCCATAAGTGGTTTTTATAAACACCGTGGATCTAACCCTGCTAATTTACGTCCACTAACTCCAGCGGTTTCTGTAGTTTCTGATTCCTCCACCTCACTCAGCATGGCTCTATTAAGTTCCCGCTCTGTTAACAATAAGTCTTTCCTGCTCAATGATTTAATTCGCTCTAAAAACCTGGATTTTCTGTTTCTGACTGAAGTTTGGCAGCAAACATCTGATTATTCTGGTCTGATTGAACTCTGCCCGAGTGGTTATTCTTCTCTTAGCCAGCCCCGGGGTTCTGGTCGTGGTGGAGGCCTAGCTGTTGTTTTCAGAGACCATCTTCAATGTAGCTCTACAACCTCTGGTCACTTTGATTCCTTTGAACTGCAGCTGATTAAAGTCGGGCGTAAGGACCCGTTCTACTGTGCTGTGGTCTATCGTCCACCTGGTCCAAACAGTTCTTTCCTTCAGGAGTTTAGTGACTTTCTAACCTCCACCGTGAAGCTGTCCAGACTGGTGATTGTTGGTGACTTTAACATCCACGTTGATGATCCCTCTGATCACTTTGCCATGAATTTCTCCAGCCTTATGGACACCTTTGGCTTTACCCAGCATGTTTCTGGCCCCACACACACCAGGGGGCACGCTCTAGACCTTGTTTTTACCCTGAGTCTAAATGCTGACAGTGTTTGTCCTGAGGATGTTTATATTTCAGATCACCATTGCATTTTCTTTAACTTGTCAGTTTCGGCGTCCCCACCTCCTGCTCGCCGTATGGTTAGTTCTCGTTTTCTTAATGAGAGCACAGCTAGCAATTGTTCTGCTGCTTTTGATCCACCCTGTTCTTCTGATAATGACCCAGATTCCTTAACTTCTCAGTTTAACGAACACTGCCTCTCCATTCTGGACAACATCTGTCCTGTCAGAACCAGATCAGTTCCTGCAGTGAACCCTACTCCCTGGTTTAATGACAGCCTTCACAGCCTGAAGCGCCAATGCAGAACAGTTGAGCGTTTGTGGAAGAAAACCCATCTCCACGTCAATCTGCTGTACCTAAAGGATCTTCTGACATCCTTTAACTCTGCAGTCGGAGATGCAAGGGTTTCCTATTTCTCCAACCTGGTGTTCCAGAGCAAAGGGAACCCCAAGGTGCTGTTTAACACCATCAGCAGCATCGTCTCTCCTGCCACTCCTACAGCCTCCATCCACTCTGTTACAGACTGTGAGAACTTTCTGTCTTTCTTTGTGGACAAAGTCAATAAGGTTAGATCTAGGGCTGTCGCGGTAACCGCAAAAATGAAATATCGCAATATGAAGAAGCCCACCGCGCTGCATCATGGGCCACCGCGATTACTGAACTTGGTTCAACTCAATGATGCATGTTGAGAAGGATGGCTGCACTGGTATCAAAACGAAACGTTACTTCGCTCCTTTGGGAGCACTTTGGTTTTCAGTACGTCAGCTGCTGCGCAGCCAGAGTCCTTGGCCGAGACAGAGCTGCCACCAGCGGCAAAAATAAATAAATAAACAAACGCTCGGAGACCTGCTGAAGTCCCGGACAAGCACTGCTTCTGCAACCGTCCCGAAGAGAGTTTGAGCCGAGCTGGAGCTCACTCGCTACCTGCAGGAGGAATGCTAAAGAAAACCCCCTGACATGGTGGAGCAACAACCGGGAGAGATTCCCTTTGCTTGCCAGTCGTATGCAAGTACGTGTGCGTTCGTGCAACGAGCGCACCATCCGAGAGGGTTTTCAGTGTTGCTGGAAATGTTGCCACCCCTCTCAGATCCTCTCTCAAACCGTATATAGTTATCATGCTGGTTTTCCTTGTAGGTAACAAGGACGTGACCGAGCTACAAATCACCGTCATTCGTGTGTGTGTGAAAGTGAAATGATAGTACGCCCGCCCCCCGGCGCGCGCGCGTCCGGTACATGTAATTTTTTATGCTTGATTTTAAACAACTAAACAAAATGGGGACTTGTTTCTTATTTGTTAGATGCTGCAGCCAAATTTGCATTTAAAAGTTTAACCTTCTCCTGAATTTTGGTGTTTTTAAGTTCAGTCGGACTCTGACTGTCGGAGAAACAAACGTTACTGCGATCTGTGTTGTTACTGCCCTTTGATCTGCATTCAGTAAAGTGTTATTAAAGAAGGCACGGCAATTTTTAACCTTTTTTAAATGTGTAAACATTATGTTTAGATAGTACTGCAATCAAAAAAGGGGCTGCAATAATATCGCACACCGCAATATTAAGCCACCCTGAATCACCGTAGAGGGAATTCCTCAACCGCGACAGCCCTAGTTAGATCTAGCATCTCTCCTTCAGCCTTATCGCTGCCTCTCCCGACTCCAACCAGGCCCATCATCCTAGATAGCTTTGTTCCTGTTTCTTTGCCTGAGTTAACCAAACTAGTTAACTCTATGAAGACCTCTGCATGCCCCCTCATCTTTGTTTAAAAGTGCTTTTCAGTCCATCAGTCCCAGCGTGCTCTCTATAATTAATGCTTCTCTGGTATCTGGTCAGGTCCCTGCTTACTTTAAAAATGCTGTAATCCACCCGCTTCTTAAAAAACCGAGTCTCGGCCCCTCTCTCCATAGCAGCTTCAGACCCATCTCTAAACTTCCGTTCATCTCCAAGATCTTGGAAAAGGTTGTGGCTAAACAACTCCCAGCTACTCTCGATGAACATAACATCTATGATAGCTTCCAGTCAGGTTTTCGTAGAGCTCATTCTACTGAAACAGCTCTTCTTAGGGTCTCTAATGACCTTCTGACTCACAGTGATGCAGGGGACTGTTCTGTTCTGGTCCTGCTGGACCTGACTGCAGCCTTTGACACTGTTGACGATCACCTGCTACTGGAGAGGCTCAGAGACTGGGTAGGCCTATCAGGAACTGCTCTGGAGTGGTTCTCCTCTTATCTTTCTGAGTGCTCCTTTTCTGTGGCCGTCTCCAAGTTTAGGTCCTCCACCACCTCTCTTACCCATGGTGTCCCACAAGGTTCTGTGCTGGGGCCTCTGCTCTTCCTCCTCTATCTGCTTCCTCTTCAGCACATCCTGAGCTCCTTCAAAGGAATCTCCTACCATCATTATGCAGATGACATCCAACTGTACATCTCCTTTAAGCCCTATGCGATGTCTAAGCTGCAGCTGTTACACACCTGCTTAGACTATCAAAACCTGGATGGCTGGGAGCTTTCTTCAGCTGAATGAAGATAAGACTGAGATCCTCATCTGTGCCCCAGACAAGCTGGTTCCCAAAGTCAGAGACTCTCTTGGTCAGCTTGCTTCTCACACCAAACCTTCCATCAGGAATATTGGCGTGACCTTTGACCCAGCTCTCACCCTGGATTCTCATGTCAGTTCTCTTGTTCGCTCTTCCTTCTTCCATCTCAGGAACATTGCTGAGTCCCATTGTGTCCCGCTCAGAACTTGAGACAGTTATCCACACCTTCATCTCTTCATGCTTATACTGTAACTCTCTTTTCACGTGTCTGAGCAGAACCTCCCTGAACCGTCTACAGGTGGTTCAGAAGGCCTGTGCTTGGCTTCTGACCAAGTCCTCCAAACACACCCACATCACCCCGCTTCTCCTCCAGCTTCACTGGCTGCCAGTCAACTTCAGGGTTCATTTCAAGATACTGGTTCTGGTCTATAGGGCCTTACATGGACAAGCACCATCTTACATTGGTGATCTTCTTAGTCCCTACACCCCCAGCAGGTCCCTGAGATCCAGTGATCAAAGCCTAATGGTTGTGCAACGTACCAGGCTAAAGACCAAAGGTGACAGGTCATTTGCTGCAGTTGCCCCCAGACTCTGGAACTCTCTCCCCCTGAGCCTGAGATCAGTGGACTCAGTGAACTCCTTTAAAAAGCAGCTGAAGACTCGTTCATGCTGGCTTTTGTATGACCTTCTTCACCACTCTGTCTTTATTCTGCTCTCCCCACCTATTCCACCTTCCTCAGGATCCACTGATTTCCCTCTTTCCTGTTCACTTTCTCTCTTTCTTAACATTTTTTTAATCACAATTGTCTATTTTTGCTCATTTAAAATATATTTTTAAACATTTTCTAAATGCTTTTTTATATTTTTACATTTTTTGTTTTTGTGAAGCGCCTCGTGATTTTTTTTATCTTGAGAGGCGCTATAGAATGATACTTTCTTCTTCTTCTTCTGCATACCTTGGTTGTAATGAGTGGTTATTTGATTTACTGCTGCCTTTTTATCAGCTCAAACTAGTCTGTCCATTCTCCTCTGAACCTCTAGCATCAACAAGGCATTTTCGACCACAGAACTGCCACTAACTGGATGTTTTCCTTTTTTGGACCATTCTCTGTAAACCATAAAGATGGTTGTGTGTGACAATCCCAGAAGATCAGCAGTTTCTGAATAACTCAGACCAGCTCATCTGGCACCAACAACCATGCCACATTCAAAGTCAATTAAATTGCCTTTCTTCCCCATTCTGAAGCTCAGTTTTAACTGCAGCGGATCTTCTTGACCATGTCAACATGGCTAAATGCATTGAGTTGCCACCATGTGATTGGCTGATTAGAAATTTGTGTTAACGAGCAGTTGGACAGGTGTACTCAATAAAGTGGCCAGTGAGTGAATATAAACATAAAGGGAAAACAAAAATGTAAATAATATATTATATAATTCTACTTGTTTTCTTTATCTTTCTATCTTTATTTTAAAGTAACAGTGTGTATTTTTCCTGGTGACAGGGGGCAGTAGATACCTAAATTGTTGCAAGCAAGCAGTATTTCTGTGCTGGAGTGAGACCTTACCAATGGATGCCCATTAGGGTCAAAAAGCCCAGGGGAGGGCAACCTTTAGCAAAATAAGCCCATCAGACTCCTTTTTTTCAACGGCAACGTGTGAAGAGCTAAATGTGTAAAACAACAACATTTATGAATGATGAAATTTTTGTAACTGTTTGCTGCAAATCAGTAAATTTATTTTGTCCTCACGGGCTTCCGTAGAAGGAAACATGGCATCTAATTTGGCATTGCCCAGAGACGTAGACCCGTTGCTATGTATTTTAGACCTCACTTTTATGGCTATATGTTATGAAGCCTCCTTTGTTTTTCAACAACTGGGCATCATTTAATTCATTTTCAACAACATTTTGATGGATGCTTCCAGAAATTGATGGTAAAAAATACACAGGGTCTCTTTAAGTCTATGTAATGACGCATAACCCACATAAACCATTTGGGCAAAGAAAAATGTTCCTGTAATATTCCTGACAAGTGTAAAGTCAGCATGCCTACCATTAAGGAGCCAGATGCTAAGGATTTTAGGGTAGTTGGGACCACATTAGAGGGTGCCAAGCTAGTTTAAAAGCTTCCTGCAGTAGAAATCTTGCAGTAAATGTGGTTCATTCTGAGATACTGATGGCTCTAAGCTGTGACGTTGTCATGGTTGGAGCCCCTCTTCAAAAGTGAGTTTACATGAGGGACATGGTCAAACACCTTCTCCAAATTCACAAAACACATGTAGATTAGTTGGGTGAATTCCCATGCACCCTCCAGGCTCCTGCTAAAGGTATAAAGCTGGTCCAGTGTTCCAAGGACCCAGGATAAAAACCACATTGTTCCTCCTGAATTCGAGATTTGACTATCCAGTGTACTCTCCTCTCCAGAACCCTTGAATAAACCTTAAAGCAGGGAGGCATAGGAAATTGATCCCCTTGTAATTGGAACAGGCTGCAGTGTCCCCTTTAGGGGACCACCACCTGGTCGCCAATCCGGCAGAACTGCCCATGTTCATGCAGAGCCGTGTCAACCAACACAACCCCACAACATACAGAGCCTTAAGAAACAAAATCATTTTCAAAGTAACTTGCTCAGCTATATTATTTACTATCTAACCTTGCTGTCACTGATCTTACATTACAGCTTTGTTCACCATCAATGTGAGAGTGGTACATTACCTGCAGCTGTGACTGAAGTGAGCGTCGTGCCAGTAGACTTTGGATAACATTAGTCCGGTCTAGACAGTCCATGCAGTTGCTCCGAAATATTCCCTCTTGGCTCAGTAGCACATTCCCATCAGGATCCACCAAGAAATATCTAATTCCACATGCCCATAGTTGGTTTGAAGAGTACGATGTATACGTCTACCTGATGAACTTACTGGCTCAAACTAAAGGTTTACTGACCCAAACTCATCTTGCATTTCTGTCACCATGTCCAGTAAGATTTGAAGGTGATGCCACCTCATCCGACTGCATTCCTTATGGAAGTCAAAAGCTATGTACCTGAAAAAAGAAATACTTTACCAACTATTCTACAGCCTTAATTATATAACCAGAAACTGCAAAATGTAGCAAATGTGGAAGCAGCATCCAGTAAAGGCTAAGCGGTAGAATGATGGTTCTCTTACTTGATCATGCCATTTCCCAAGCTGGTGACCATCTTATCAAATATTACCTCCAGTGGCTTTTCTGAGCCTTTTTGGTTGATCTGTAAATTAAAGATGACATTATGTTACAACAGTGACATAATTTAGTCTAAATGTGTATAAAGTAGCATGCTGGAAATTGGTTTCTGGCCAGATTTTATAAGAACTATCAATTACAGATGTGCTCCAACTGGGACATTGCAGTGTACTGATCAGGTATATTAATCATTTTCTTACCAAATTCAATACCACTTGTCTCCCATAGAGAACAGCCTGTGAGTCAAAATGCCTCTGGAATCCATCTAACTGGAAAAGGATGTATATAAACTGAACAAGTACTCCACATAAAACAAACAAAATTAAACTGAATAAGAATGTAGAAAACTGACATGGTTGGCCATTTTGCTGATCTGTGGTTTTGGTTTGTACTTCAGATTGGGCCTTTGGGACCAGAAGACAGGGATGGAGCCTCTCGTCTAAAAGGAATGGAGAAAGTTCACATGTATACTTATGCTAACCTGTTCATTCCTCCATTATAAAACAGAGAACTGAGTTAAAATCTAAAAGCAGATTACAGTGAGTTCACATCCTGTTTCCTAATATTAGTCAGAACAAAAAAAACACTTCAAAATTCTGTTTGTCATTGTGCATCAAGTGAAATGAACAGAAATGTGGACGATTAACACTTCTGTAGTTGATTTAAAAAAGTTGAACAAACAAAACAGAAACAAATAAGATCAGGGAAAAAATTGTGTCCTACCTGCAACAAAAAAGTTTGGCAAATCTAATTTTAATATTTTGAAACAAGATACAGCCGTAATGATGGCATGAGAGAAAAGTCACTGTATTCTGAATTTTTATGTCAAAGCTAATATTAAGCTAGTATTAGACTTTAAAGAGCAAGTCACCATCAAATTTTATTTATTCATTTATTTATTCGGGACAGTGCACATTAATAAACAATCACATGCTTTGTATCGACTGTAAATTGGCCAGATTATTGCACAATTGCTAATTTACATCTGTAGCCCCTCAAAACAAATCAACTTTTATTGCTGATGAAACTATATAAATGAGTGTCTAAACATGCTGTAGACACATGCAGTCAACAATTTGGCACTTTGGTGCATCTTCGTTAAAATTTAAATATTCTGCCTAAAACTGTCAGCGTTGCGTCTTTTTCAGGTAAAAACTACACTACATTCGAATTTAAATCTGCCATCGCTACTGGCTAAGAGGTACCCTATTCATTAGCTGGTACCATATGATGTCACAATGCCGCTGTGAGCCTGTGTGTGTATTTGTTAGAGGCTCCCCCCTCTCTGTATCCCAGGCAACACCTCCTTGGGGCGCATTTTTTCAAAAAGGAAATGGGAGTGGCGTTAGTCTGATAGTGGGTGACTTGCTCTTTAATGATTCTTTATAGTTTGGCTTACCTGAACAAAGGAAGCCTTCAAGCCGCCGTACTGAACTATTTGTTCAGTTTCCACAAAATTAGCAGCATATCCTTCGGAATCAATGCCTGCAAACGGTCGGAAATGTTCAGGACGTTAAATTTCCCACTTTCTAAAATTCCTAGACATTTACAATTTAGACGAGTGTATATTTTACTTATTACACTTACAAACAAAACACTCAGAAATGTGTTTTTAAGTTGTCTGAGTATTATTAGATAGTGTTGTTAATCTTTTTTCAGTGAGGAGCTACCAGATACTTCTACAGAACATGAAAATGTATCCTATTTCCAAGTTCTTTAAAGATATCCAACTAAAAAAAAGTTTATTTTAAGCTAAATGTTTCTTTCATGACCTCAGACACTTCTCACTAAATAAGGTTAATGTTTGAGTTTCTTTAATCACATTAATGCTTATTAGTTGTAAAAAATAAAACAGTTTTGTGAATAGCAGCAGTTTGATCTTGTTAGGGTTTTTTATATTTCATTTCTCTTAAATGTTCTTTTTAAGCAATCATATGTTAATCATATGTTATGATGTGAAGTAAGCCACAGGGCTTTCTCCTTTCCTCTTGGCTGCAGTATGCAGCCTGATAAGCATGGGGGTTGGGGAATACTCTGCCTGACTACAGGAAAGTTAGCAGGCTGAATGAGTCAGCGGTTTGTGGCTGCTAGCAGTCACCCCTGTAGCTTGAGACTTCCTTTTTAGAAGGTCCCGCCTTAGATAGAAGCAACAGTGTTATTGGTTAAGTCCCAAGTCCATCCATTGATGGATTGTTCTTTGTCCTTGTTTCTCTGTTTCAATAAAGCCAGCTGGAGAGAGAACGTGCCAGAGTTGATTAAAGAGGTTCTGAGCCAGTCTCTCTCTCCACTGTATCCAGCGTAAAAATAACTTTACTGACTTCTCTCCTGTGTGGTTCATTTCAGGATCTAAAAATACACAACAGAACCTATTGCCACCAAGATTTTGAAAACTTTTACTGTTTATGGTAAAAGTTCAAAACATAGTGACAACTTGTGGGTCATTAAAGTCTTGTGCAGCTCCACTCGTCACCAGGAGAACTGCCCCTTCCCTCCTAAAGGAACATAAAAGGCTCCTCCAGAGTAACAGAAGAAAAGTTTACCTCGAACATAATAGCGAGCACCTGCCCTGAAACAACTCCTCCTGGAAATGATGGTCCACTCAAACACCTTCCCGTTGACAGAGCTGGCCTCAATGGTTATGACTGGTCAACAGATGTGTTAAGAAACAACAGTACTACATGAAATAGTAACAGTGATGCTATTTTTAAACAGTTTACTGCTTTTGCTTTCTTTGTGCTACAGTATAAGGACACTATTGATTTTAATATTACATGTAACCTGTACCAAGCTTTGTAACTTGTAACATGTTTTGTAACTTGAGTTTTGTAACTGTAGACTGAGGTTTGTGTTTTGAAAGTTGTAATTTGAAATTTTTTTCTGCAAGTTACAAAATAAAAGTTTCAAGTTATGTACTGAAGTTACATGATACAAAATGAGAATTACATGCTACAAAACTAAAGTTATGTGTTACAAAACATGTTTCACGTGCTACAAAACAAGTCACAGCTACAAAACATGGTACAAGTTAAATGTAATATTGTCTCAATCCTAGTTTCATACATACTTTTGGTAAAATATTTTATTTGCACTTTAATTCCAAAACATGTAAAAATCATACTTTAATAAAAATAATTGTCCTCTTTCTAACTTAACACATTTTATATTTTGATACGACACTCTTGACTACTGAACTCTTCTTTGAGGCTGGATTGAAGGCACTAATGTTTTATTGTAGATTTTTTTTACAGATTAAAACCAAAATAGTAGTTTGTCCAAAATACAACACAGAATAATTTATGTGCAACTCACTTCAAGTCTGTCGCCAGGTGTCTGAGTTCACCAAAAAGGGGGCGGGGCTGTTTGAAGAAGTAGGAAGTGATGTGGCATTGCTCTAATCTTATCTGATGGTGAAACCATAGACATCAATTTATATGTCTGTGGGTGAAACTCTTACACAGTGAACAGAGGCGTCGTATAAATAAACACCATTTCCTCTCTGCTCTTTCCACTTATTCCGCCTTTCCCGCGATCCACTGATTTCCCTCTTTCCTATTCATTTTCTCTCTCCCTTTCCTTACATTATTATTTTTTTAATCACAATTTTTAGTTTTCTCATTTTAAACATGTATTTTTTGCTTGTGAAGCACCTTGTGATTTTTATCTTGAGAGGCGCTATAAAAAAGGCTGTTTTCTTTCCCGCTGTCCTTCCGTCACTCTCTGAGTAACTGCAGATAATATATCCTTCTGTGTGTTTACATGTTGTTGCTGCCTCTGTTTTCTTACTGACATGCTAAAAGGTAAATAATCAGTGAAATACACAGAAATCAAACAAACTAAGATTTTCCAAGGGTTGTTTCATTTAAGCTTAAACCTTTGGTTTATATTAGAACATAATGGTGGCTTTTCTTACAGCTCATGGGACCGCTGAAAGGATACAGCCATGGATGACAGGAAACACAAACTGGTGTAACTGTAAATAATGAGACATTGTTATTGAGCATTTGACAGAATCTTAGCTGGCCTCAGGTCCCGACGGTAACGTTAGAAAACTAAACATTTTGTTTGTGATGTTTTAGAAAAATATTTAAATCACTGACTTTAATAACTGATAACTCCAGCTCACTTTAAAAACCTATACCTGACCTATAAATGACCTTTGCTACATATTTGGCGTCATTCTGATTCTATGGGTCAAACAATTGATATCTTTCTCCCATAGGGAGTTAGTTATAAATGGTAAAATAGTGCCTTCTAGGGTCCAACAACCCCCCAAAGTACTTTACAACACACCAGTCATTCACACACACACACATTAACATTTATTATAACTGTTGGTCAGGAAAAAAAGGAACACACAAACAGTTGAATGAATCAGTGACTTGTCAGTGACCGTTGATTCAGGCATGAATACCAACCCGCTGGAACTGAGGGAACCTTTCTGAGGTGAAACAACTTTAATTACAGAGAATGAGAGTCCTGATGTTTTGAATTAATAATCTCTGTAAAGTAAAAAAATATGGCACAAAGACAAATGCATGTCTAAAATGTTTTCCTCACCTCTGGTTGTGTGATAAAATCTCTTAACAGATGGCCATTCCAAACAAAACGTGGATCTGCCTGGAGCAAGAAGAGCAGTACAGAGTCAGACTGGCCTAGAGGCGGGTCAGATTAGCACCAAGAACAGACACTTAAACAATTTCTGTGATCCTTACAGAATTAAAAACGTCCTGTGTTTATATAGCACCTTCTAGAGGCATACAACCCCCCAACCCCCTAAAGCACATTACAACACTACAGTTACAAAACAGGCTGCTACAGATCTATGTTTTTTTGGTGTATTCTGGTTAACTGTAGCCTGAACAGGAGACAGACATCCACACACCCTCTCCTGACGATGTGTTTAGTCAGGATGATGTGGCTGCCATGGTGATGAACTGCTGCCATCATTTGCTTTACTTTGCCACAGGCTGCTCAACATATGAAGCAATGTTTGGCTCTGTGTTGTTCTTCTAGTGGCATGGTGGTTTGGTAAAAACAGAAAGTATTGCCAAGGTTTGCTTAAAGGAATAAAGGCTTCTATCAGCCGACTCCTCTGTGACGTTAAGCAGCACTGTGGATGCTTTCTGTTGCTGCTAATACTTCAGGACACATAACTGAAACTATGTTAAATTATTAGGTGGTCAGTGGCGGCGGCTGGGGTGCTCCTTGGGTAGTGCCCAGGTAGTGGTGGGGGTTGCCACCCTCCCTCTCAGGGCGCCCTGGATTGGTGTCTTGGCTGGCTGCTGCCGTGGATCTACTGCTGTCGAGGCAGATGGCTCCCTTGATGGCGTGTCTTTTATTACCTGTCCAATCTGTGCTCAGCCTAGTGTTTACTGTGGTCTTTTAATGTGTTGTGTGTGTGTGTGTGTGTGTGTGTGTGTGTGTGTGTGTGTGTGTGTGTGTGTGTGTGTGTGTGTGTGTGTGTGTGTGTGTGTGTGTGTGTGTGTGTGTGTGTGTGTGTGTGTGCGTGCGCGCGCGCCTGGGAATGGTTTGTGGATTGGGGGGGGGTGAAAGTGTCATAATTGTTTTAAGTGTGGGAAAGGGAGGGAATGTGGGTTATATGGGTCATTTTAATCTGTTAAGCACTTTGTGTTGCTTACTGTGCATGAAAAGTGCTATATAAATAAAGTTTGATTTGATTTGATTCACTTAATTGTC